TGGTTCCTGGAGGTTCTACAAAAATGACACAACTTGTTCCTGGTTATAAATTAATGGTTTCTGTACAACCTTTTGATTGTAGGATGATTTTATAATTTCATAATTACAGTAATACCCTTATAGAATCCAAATATAATTATTAGAGGCCCATTGAGGCTTTTGAATGAGGCTATTTGTTAATGGAAAAATATAAGCTCGTTCATATGTATTATAAGCCAATTCAATGAGACCCTTAAAAATCCACAGGACCTCTACCTCTATTAGGACATTTACGATATTATAAAAAAAATTTTTTAAAGTATTTTTTGATGATTATATCGCCAAGCTCCATTGCTTCAATGCATTTAACCTTGATCAAGACAAGCAAGTTAAGATTGCCGGTAGAATAGCCTGTCAAATGATCATGTGGGCTCGATGGATGAATAAATTATTAGACTTGACGGACAGACCTAATGATGAAGGACTGTCTAGATCACATTTAAATATAGCTTGGATAAAACAGAGGTTGTCATTACAAAGCAAATTAGATGAATTATTTGTGATGGATATTTCAAGTCTGGAAAACAAGGAGGAGGAACTGGCACGAATGCAGGTGTTTTAAAAATTTTTTAAAGAAATTAATAATTTTTTCATTATCGAACACAAGTAAATAAAATGTGAAACAATAAAATAAAATCTCCTTGATCCACAGGGATCACTTATGGAAATAGTAGCCAATTATGGATATACTTTTGTTTATTGTATTTCTAACTTATTATCGTTATATAAGGTCCTCCCGCTATTAAAGTGCCTCTCAATTTGAATGACCACTCTAAACTTCTCCTTTTCAATGTCCCTCCAATAGAATGCTCCTTTGAAAGTTGATTGAAAACTTTGATGCCCGGGCACCTTATTGATAATTTTGTTTATTGTATCTCTTCATAACAAGGTCTAGAACTTGGTCGAATTGTTAATTGAGTAATTCATAAGGATTGATCAATGTGGAATCACTTAAAAATTTAGGTTGATCTAAACGAATTTGTTCTTGATAAGCTTGATACATACATTGTTGTTGGAAATCCAGAAAGAGTGGTATTGAAATGGCTAGAGATAGAATCACTCAATGAACATAGGGTTGAATGGAATAATGAGGAATATATGCAGCATATTAATTGGATTAGGGGAAAAATCACAGATTTTATAATTAACTCAATATCAAATCCTCCCGGGCTCAATGCTAGAGAGGCTGAGAAAATGCAGTTTTTTTACATAAAGAACATTCAAGCACCAGGTAAGAATCCAGCCTTTCCTTCATAATAATAAAAAATTAAGATTTGAAAACCAATCCAGAAGCAAGAAAAGCTTTGAGAGATTTTGTTGGTTATTCTGGAATTGCCAGAATGAAGAGGGACTTCCCAGAATTGTCAGAATTAAACTGGGAATCGGAAGGGGAGCATGGGATGAATAAAGAAGAAATAGATAAAGCAATACGAAAGGAGGAGGAAGCTCAAGTAGATCCGGATGAAAGAAGAGGACATCGATGGATGATGGAAGGCTTTGAAGTTGCCTCTGAAACATCTCAAGGATCCAGTGCTACAAAATTAAAAAGAAAATCGAAATTTTATAAAAAAATAAAACCAAAAAGATTATTTTCGGGAGAATCTAATCGTGATAGGAAAAAACAATTGAGGAAGAAAAAACAAGCAGAAAAAGAAAAATTTTTAGAAACAATTAGGGCTCGAAAAGGAGAGCAGCAAGCGGATGATTCGAGTTGATTTTAAATAAATAAACATACATATTTGTAACACAAAGGCTTCTAGACGCTTAATAAGTTCTTAAGGATTTATCCCATATCTGGGATATATCCCCATATCTGCCTATATTGTTAGCATCCTTTGCTTTCACATTTAAGGGAACTTGATAACCTCCTCAACAGTATGGAACGTTAATATAGTCCCTTTTAAGTACTTATGGGAACTATAGTAAACAAGAGTGTTCAATGATGCAAACTTAATATCCGTAACTGCCCGTATACGCCTTCTTTTGCAAAATTTAAATCCTAATCCGCATGTATCTGGATTATACATGAAGCCTGATCGTATTTCAAATACGAGACACATAATCATAGAACCAGTGTCTTCCACAATACACATTATCTTGATTAAAATTAAGGAATCAACCCGACCCCGAACCCCGACATGCCTTCCCGGCAAACCCCGATCGCCGACATACCCGACACCAGGGTAGGGTTGCTACCCTAATTAAAATATTTAAAATAATCAGCAAATAATCTACTGTGATCAATTCAATTATTTTATAGCTAAAACAAAAGAAACTAAATCTGCATTTCACGATGAAATTTTTCACAAAGATTTACAAAATTATCTAAATTATTATAATCAAAATTATCAGCCTAATGAAGAGATCCAAAAAGATAGTTTTGATCCATTATTAAAGGAAATTGAAAATACTTTAGATTTGGCAAAAGATTTAGTTGATAAGGGAGAGATAAAATGGCTTAATGTAATTAAAGACAAATGGGATGGTAAAAAGATCCAAATTTTGTCGAGTGATGTTGCTTCAATAAGTAATAATCTAGAAGGGTTTTTGGATCATCTCAAAGATGAAATTAAAGAAAATTTGTTGGTAAGTATATAAACTTTTAGAATAATGTAGGGTATGTCCGTTACTTGCCTATGCCCCGACCCAAAAGGCAACCCCGACCCCGAACCCCGACATGCCTTCCCCGATAAACTCCGATCCCCAACACACACGTCCCCGAAGGGTCAGGTTGCTACCCTAATATATTCAATAGTTTCGAGAATAAACCACTTTCCTGTTGATCTGTCTTTATAAGTGCCCAAACGGACAAGCACACATGTTTGGCTTAGTAAAGCTATTAGATTTGGTCTTAGCAAGATTCAGCTATCGATAGAGAATATAATAGTATTTGTCCCTAGTTTTTCATTTGATCTGTTATTGAAAGTGCCGCAAAAGAGAAGCAAGCAGGTGTGGCTTAGTAAAGCTATTAGATCATGTCTTACCAAACATATTGGTATTTTGCCTAATCTTATAAGAATGGTCCCAGCATAATTCCACTTTAATATTTAATATAAACTAAATAATTATATTTAGCTCCGAAGAGCGCTTCGTGAATATGATTCGGATTTACTAACTCATAAGCATAAAAAATGGCCAAATATTAAGCAGGCAAAGAGAGCAATGACGGAATTTATCAAAAATTGGGTAAATTATAAAATTTGGTCCCAAAAATTATCAAATTTAAGATTCCTTGGTCTCATCAAAATGATGAAATACCCGCTCCAAAAGGAATTGCAAAATTTGTATTATCCGGATCACATCGTCTTGGAGCTGCAACTATAAATTCTGACATTGATGGGGTTATATTAGTCCCACGTAAAACTTATTGGCATTCACAATTTGAAAAGGATTTTTTTGGAAATTTTGATTGTATTTCGAAAAAATGTGTTGACAGAGGGATTAATAATAATTCGAAAGTGGAAGCTGTGGAAGAAGCTAAAGACGATTCACTTTTTTGTAGATTATGCGAGGTATTAAGGAGTTTTTGAGTTATTTTGGGAGCCTAACACTTGTAAGGCTGGTATCATCGAAAACACGTAGCGGAATTTCCCAAGGAGAGGAAAGAACATTCCAGAGGATTACGATCAGTCCCAGAGGGTTATTAGCCTCCCATTATCGTAGCTTAACATCGGCATTCTAATAAGCATACCATCATTCTACTGTTGATTCCCCAGCCGCCATTAATTTTTTCCACTAGCTGAAAGTGAGAAATAGCTATAGCCCAGCTTACTTTATCAATTCATGAAGGATCTTGGGTAGTACATGTCCGACTGAAAAGTTTCTGTGTATGTATAAGCACTAAGTCGTTTTGTCACCGTATCTCCTTAACGATATCATCTTTAATATTACTATACTAATTATTTATATTAAAGAACCCTAATGTCGAAAATCTGAGAAGAATTTATGGTCGCGTTCCGATAATTGGTTTAAAATTTGCCGGATTTGAATTTGACCTATCTTTTGTGACTCTCGAAGAGGAATCGTTAAATAAATTATTTCAAGATGATAATTCTTTAACAGTGAAAAATCTCGATGAAGCGATAGAAAAGTTTAGAGAGAAAATGCCGAATGCGTTTTTTGAAGCAGATAATGCAACGATACTTATGTTGCGGTTAAACACACGTTTAGGAATGCTTTTTGCGCTTTCCGGTATCTTTTCTAAATAAGATTAATAGAAGATACTTTTTAAGGAGTGCGATCAACTTTGCGCTTTATTGAATTGCTTGATAAAAATATAGCAAAATTCAAACTGGCATATATTACAGTAAAACTATGGGCGAAAAGTGAGATATAATACTATAATATTTACGATAATACCACTATAATAGTTCACCATACTAAAAAATTGACTTGGATAGTATAATACATACAAGAAAATCCTGGATCTGGATTCTGGATCCAGAAAAAATCCAGCACGATCACAATATGCCTGATCTTAACTCTGGATCCAGGTAAAATCCAGACAGGATACAGATCCAGACCGATCTCTAATACATACGTCCAATATGATTGAAAGATTCACTGAATGTCCTTCACAACAAACCATGGAGCCATCCCGAACAGAATCCTCGTATTCCATTCATGCCATCCTCACTGGAAAGGTTTCAGAGCTTGGTCGGGGATGAATCCTATTCACAATATTACTATGGGAATGAAACTGAAATTGTATCACAATTATTCCCGGAAATACTACAAGCGTTCATAATTGATAACTAATATCTTAAAATACTCTTACTATCATTAAAGATCATTTCATATATGGCGGCAACTTTGGATTTTTAAATGGTTCCTCGCTTACGGTGCTTGTCAGCAAATTTGTTATAGAAAATCCAAATGATTCTATAATATATATAATTACGGAATTATTTGAATTTCTGGTTAAGTGGTTTGACCTTGAATCGAATGAGGAAAAAATAATTATGGTAGAAAATCCAAAGGATTATGAAAATTCAAGAAAAATCGTTGATTGGAATTTAGATAGAGAGCTTAAACTACGTGAAGAACATTTCAAAAATTTGTTATGGGAAGGATATGAGAAACATTCAAAAGTTGTATGGCCAATTATTTTGCCCGGATTTCCTACACAAAATGCTGGATTTAACATTAATCGCAGTACGGGTCTAATTATAAAGGAGGAAATAGAAAATGGCAAGAATTTTTTATTTGTGCTTCAACCCCGGATATCCTAATAGGATAATAAGAGAAGACAAAGATCAGTCGGTGGAGAGATCAGTTGAGAGAGAGAATATTTGAAGAAGTATAATACATATTAGGCAATCAGTGTAAAAATACGGGATTAAGCATTTAAGAGTCGATCGAAGGTGGGAGAGTGGGCCTGAGAGACGGGATTATTCCTGAAAGACGGAGGGTGAGATACGAGATTAAGCATTTGAGACTCGATCGAAGCTGGGAGAGAGGGTCAGAGAGACGGGATTGGGACTGAGGGACGAGGGAATGAGAGACGGGATTGGGCCTGAGAGACGGGGTTGGGCCTGAGAGACGGGGTTGGACCTGAGAGACGGAGGGAATGAGAGAAGGGGTTGAGCATTTACGGGTCGATCGAAAGAGGGCCTGAGAGACGGAGGAAATAAGAGACGGGATTAAGAGAATGAGAGCGCAGCTCACTCTTCAGTGAACTTTGCTTTAATCCCACCTATCCGTTTTCAATATAATCCAAGGACTCAGGAAAATAGTATATCCGACCGGACTAAACAATAATCTATTAGTATTACTTTACTTATCCTTGACTATGATATGGATTCAGACGGATTCTCAATTTTATTTATTTAAAATTTTTCAGGCTTGGATAAATTTATAACCTTGCAAAATCAGTTTAATGAATTAATAGAAAATAAAAATACTGATAAATCAACAGATGCTGAAAAGATATGGAGGGATTGGTTAAATGGGGGAAATTTTGAGGAAAAGTATGATACTTATTTGGCAATCATTTGCCACCATACAAAACCAAGCATTTACGGACCTCAGTTTTGTGAATTTGCTGAAACCCGCATTCGACTTGGACTTTTATCAATTGTTGAATATCACAGCCCGAACATTAAATATTGCCACTCATCACCAATAAAATATCTGAACGCTCAACCTTGCCCCTTAAAATTCGTTGAGGATAAATTTTCACATTGGATATGTAATGTTTGGCTAGTTGGAATTAAGGGAAGTATTGAGCAAGAAAGGATTGATGAGATCACAGGCAAATTTAGTTCAGATATTTATAAGGATTTTCACAAGTCAAAAAGTGGGAAGAAAGTGAAACCGACACACAGAAGAAAATATAGACTCAGAACCAAGTTCTTTGTAAAGAATGCCCTAAAGGACAATTGAGGGGAAGTAAGACGGAAGTTCCGAAGTAAGACGGAACTTACGGGATATGTATATAGCTGTGATATATACGATGTTTTATAACTAACCTCAAATCTAGGATTATTATGGTTTAGAGAACGTTTTAAGAAAAAAGACGGAGAACGAATATGCACACATCTTAGTCTTGAACGTTCTCTATTTTTAAATTTTTACTAGGGATTTAAATTTTTGCCGGGTTTAAAACGGTTGTGACAACCCTAATTTTTACATAAATTTCTATTTTAAATTCATTAGAATTTTATTTTTTTATATGAGGATAAAGTTTATATTTGTGAATAATTTTTTAACTAAGCTATACTGGGTAATTAATCATATTCTCGTCAAAAATTTCTATAGAGATTTGATTTAAAAAATTGTTTTTTCCGTATAATTATACCAAGTACAGACCGAAAGCCTAGACTGAAGCACAGTCGACTGACATCCATCCAACAACGAGTTATATTTAACTATATTTTTTGCAAGTACGAGATTTACGCTAGTTATCAGTGCTTGGTATGCGTCGGAGCTTGGCTAAGGTTTTGAAACCCTCGGAGCCGTAGCCAAGGTTTAACAATATACAACCCTAAAGATGAGTAAAATACCAGAAGTGAGCAAAAATATGAGGCGTGGAAAGAAGGAAGAGAATCGTACGATACTCCAAGTTGGGCTCTAGTACGGATACAACAATTTTTGAGCTTAGAAAATTCATTATCCTCCAATAAAAATTAAATTTTAAAAATCCAAATTAAAAAACGGCCACTATTATGACGCCACCTAATAAAACGAACATAGCTATCCACTTTTCCCAAGACTATATTTAGGGGTTTTTATTCAAAGCGCGATTCAGAAATAATACTTTGTCTAATCTACAACATTAAACAGAAAAATAATTTTTACAAAAATAAATTTATGCAAAATATTTACGTTGAATTTTGTTATAATATGAAGTATTTCGACGATCTACGTGTGTCAAAATCTGGGTGGTTGACGTTTATTTTAAGTTAATCTTTATGTAAATTCTATTTGCAAGTAAAAATTTGTATAACTATTGAAAAACACGAACAATCAGAAATTATTATCAATTCTTATCACTAGTATTATCAATAGAAATTACCTATATCAATAGTTAACTTTAAGAGAATTTGGCACATTATAGTTAAATTTAACTATAAATGGCTTCATCAGACAAATCTCCTCTTTCAATGATTAGTAAATCTTCCAAATCCAAAATAATTCCAACAGATGTGAATACAACAACTAGAGCTAATGAATCTAAAAGGTCCAAAAGGGAACCCTTTTTTGGCAAATTTAGATTTTGTATTGCCATTCTTCTTGGATTTACTACTTTTTCTTATACTTCATTAAGAATGAATTTAAGTATGGGAATGGTTGGTGAATTTATAAAAATTATTGTGAAATCCCTCTATTGGATTTCGCTCATATACAGCGAAGCTCCTAGCTGATAGAAGCTCCTAGCCTAGTCTAGCTGTCAAGGAGCTCCTAGCCTAGCCTAGTTGATAGACACTTATACTAGCAGCATTGAAATTTGAAGAATATTGCTCTTAAGGATCCATCTCTTTATAATGAACTATTATTCTCTTATAATGAACTATTCTCTTTTTAATGAACTATTCAAGTATAGAGATCGGAACTGTGTCTTGATCCGGATCATTTTTCCGGGAACTTTTTTCTGCTTTTATGTAGGACTTGGAAAACCCAAATATGAGTACATTTACTGATCCGAGGTTTTTCTAAAATTCTTTTATAATGAAAAACTCATCCCTGGCAAAGAAAATTGAAACGTAAACTGCAGCAGAAAAGAGGATTAACTCCTCTAAGCTCAGAATTTATCTCAAGCCTAATAATCTACAGGTTTGTATGGTTAACTCAACGGCTATACATTTACGTGAAAGTACTAACGACAAAAGTTTGAATGAAGAAAATTCGTCATTTAATGATTATGCACACAAAATACATTTGAAAAATCTGGCATATGTGGAAGAATGTGGTGATCGAGAGATAAAGACAAATATACATAGAAGCTTGGGATATCAGGTTGAAACCTGAGGTCCCACCTTGATAAAAAATAATTAAAGGGTTCAATAGAATGGACAGCCTCTGAACAAGCTAGGCTTTTCGCTGCACTATTTTATGGTGGTTTTATAACAATATGGTTCTCGGGCTATTTGGCCGATAGATTTGGCCCAAAGCTTTTGATTGGAATGGCAGTTTTAGATATGTCTGTATGTTCACTCGTTTCTCCAGTGCTAGTTGATCTGAATTATCATGCATTTTTTGTTGCCAGATTTTTGATGGGCCTTGGAGACGTAAGCTTATATTTAACAACGGCCATGACAAAAGCTTAATCAGACCGCAATATTACTATCCAAACAACCTTTAACATTTCGACCCCTAAATGTTTTTCTTCCAAATACTTGAGTCTCTAGGACAAACAGATCCGCCATCTGCTAAAATCTTAAAATACCCTGACACTATTAGACTCGGATCCGACAACCTTATTGTCGTTATAGATTAAAAGTTATGCTATATCAGATAAAATCAGTTACCGTATACTAAAAATATAATAAAAAATCAGTTACCGTATAAAATCAGTTACCATATATTAATTCCCCTGGGGAATTATTTTTTCAACCCATCCGTGGATGGGGAATTATTCAAGGGATGGGAATTATTCGAGTTTTGAAATTTGAACGTAGTAGGATTTTTGGGGGAGGTGGATTATTGTTCTAACTCATCCGTAGCAGTGGGAATTATTCGAGAGAGGGCTTTTATTTGAGTGAGGAGAATTAATCGAGTAAATACGGTAGGTCCCTTCAGGGTTTCATCTTCCCAACAGTATCATCAGCCAATGCATGTTGGGCACCCCCAGCCGAACGTAGCTTGATGTTCGCAATATCCACATTGGGTAATCAAATAGCTGCAGTTTTTGCTTTGTTGTTTGGATCACAACTTTGTGCCATAAAATTCTTGGACGGATGGAGATTAATTTTTCTTAGTTTTGGTAAGTTTTAAATTTTTGTAAAAATGCCGAATCAAAACTAAAAAATAAAAGGTGCCATTGGAATGACAAGCTTTACATTATGGACTATTTTCGCTGCAAATAGCCCTGATGAAAGTAGATGGATTGGTACAAAAGAAAAAGAAATGATAACTGCTAGCCTAAAAATTGGGGAATCTGAAAAATCCATTAGCTCTAGAAGAGTAAGATATGTAAAAAAATTTCTCTAAAAATTTAGTTAAATACGGGAAAAGTCCCTTGGAGTAAAATGGCTAGGAGTATACCCTTATGTGCTGGAATTATTGGGCAATTAAACTATTCATTTTGTACAACGTTGTTGCAATCTTATTTACCTACCTATTTGAAGGACTATTTGAAATTGAGTTTAAATGAAGTGATTATTATATTGTTTAGTAGAGATCGAGCTGGGCCTGAACCAAGGCCTGGGTTTTTCCTGTACACAAAGTTCAGGCCCAGGCATTTTTTGACCTTCTCGGGGCTTTCCTGTGCCTGGGCTGGAATACAAGCCCAGGACCCGGCCCAGGCCAATAAAACAAACCCAGAGCCCAGGAACAGGCCCTTGCTTTTCAAAAATCTCGATCTCTATTTTTAGATATTAAAATATGTAGAGGAGTATATTGCAAAACCCGAGGCCGAGTAGCTATAAAGGACAAGAATCAGCAAACTTAACGGTTTGAGAACGAGTACCTGAATTGATTTAAGCTCGCTTAATTAAGTCTAGCCACCAAACGTAAGTGAACATAAGGGCCCACAAAATTGACATGACAGGTGCCCAGGAATGTAGATAATAATCTACTACCGCGCGAATGTAAATAACATCTGGAAGAACTGATAGTTCCAAGTATATTAATTTTTCAATTTTAATTTCAGAATGGTATATATTCAACGATTCCATTTCTCACAATGATATTTTCAAAAATATTCTGCAGCATTATAGCTGATAAACTGCGCAAAAGAAATATATTAACCGATACACAATGTGTTAAATTATTTCAAGCAATTGGTAGTAAAATTTTTAAAGGTCTTTAAAAATTAATTTTAAAGCTAATATTGGGGCAGCTGCATCAGCTTTTTGTATGGCAACATTTGTTACCTGTGGAAATCCACAATTAGCTATAGTGTTTCTTTCAACATGGGGTAATTATTTGGCAATAATCAAGAGATCGAACATATTTAGGAATGAGTTTTGGAGCAAATGCAAGTGGAGTTTTCACTCAACTTTTGTTGATTGCACCTTGTTATAGTGGTCTAATAAGTTCGATAAGCACAGGATTTACCTATGTAGTTAATGGTATTTCTCCAACAATTATATCTGCAATAGTTAAACATGTAATAATTATTCGGGAAATAATGGTATTCTGTTCGGACTAGGTATAAGACTAGAGATGAGATGCTCCGCGGGACTAGGAAAAAGGCTGGAGAGACGTCTCTCATTTTGCTATACTTTTGGATAGGAGTGGGATAGAGTGCCATCCTCGGATATCCCTCTACAGCAGCGATAGAAGGATTAAGATAAGATTTTCAATATTTTCTTTGGGTCGGCTTCGGGTAGGGTCAATTATAAATTTGTCCAAGTAGCTGCTTTTTCGGAGTGTGGGATATCTGTGATTTCGTGGGATTAAAAATATTCGGGGATTTGCAGCGATTAAAATGGATTTGGATCAATTAAGAATCGCACTCATATAACCTTCCAAATCACTTGATATCCTAGATATATTTTTAAATCATTCGATATCTCTCCTTAATTCCAGTCCCCCCATATTCTCCTATCTAATCAAATCAACCGATATCTCCTCAAGAATATAAGCAATCAGATTCTATTAATCATATTTTATAAATTTTTTTTATCATTATTAAGGGGTCACCTTCGGAGTGGAGAACGATTTGGTATATTCTCTTTGGATCTAACCTATTTTGCGCGGCATTTTTTATCCTTTTTGCTTCTGGTAGTTGCAAAATTTAATTTAAATTTAATAAAATATATTAGGAAAACAACAAAAATGGGCAGACGTTGAAGAACTACATAAGCCGAAGCTAAGCACGAATTGAAGATTGTCAAACCGATTAATAATAATTTGAACAATTATATTTAATAATTATCAGTGTTAATTTATTAAACTATGTGCTTTAATTATATTCTCATAAAATTATTAATGATTTAATTAAAATATTTAACTAGCTCTTTCTGCATTGCCACTAGTAGTGGGCGTAGTACTACTGTCTTCGGTGGTTTTGTATAATATAAAATTACGTTGAATTAAAAAAATTTTCCCATTATTTCTCAGATAAGGAATCAAATATCCATTCTCAGATTCCACTGACCTTTATTTTCATTGAAATCCCCATAATATTCCTTATCAAACGTGGACCAAACAACTTTATAAGACAAATACTTCAATAACACTCGTATGCGTGCACAAAATCCAGCATGGCTTCTTGTACCATGGCTTGTCAGGCGTTAGCACGGTTAATATCCTGACTCATCTGTAAATTTTGAGTGATCCAATAGATCTTCAATTTATTTAATAGTTATCTTCAATTTTATTGATGTCATTGATGAATTTTAAATGAATTTTCAAACTACCTTCCCAACAATTTTTTATCTGTAAATTGGTCAGAATTAACCCGAAAATTTTAGAAAATCTATTACTAGACTTAGCTTGATGAGTTTTATGCATAATTATAATCGACCCATTTAATTTAATTTCTATAAAATAATTTTTTGGCCGAAAATTTTGAAAAAAAATTTGCCGAAAATTTTGCTAAATATACATTTTGAAAAATTTTAAAAGCCTATCATATTCCAAAAGTTATGATCTATTTGATAGAAATGTATGAGCTTTTCATTTGGCGCATAAAGCTTTTTTGGACGAATGATCTAGCAGAGGCAAATCGGAGATAACAAAGGTGCCGGAAATCGGGAATTGGCTCAAGAAAATCGTCCGTAAATCGGAAATTGTTGCCGGAAATCGACTCAGAATCGCAAGTTTGAAATCGGAGTTCCGATTCACCTCTACTAGCAAACAAAAAAATTAATTTATTTTTTAATGTACACAAAAAAACAATTGCAATATAATAATATTTTATTAGTAACAAAAACTTTTACGTTGTAGTCTAAATACATATGTACAGCAAAGTATATTTAACATTTAATCTGGGGAATTTATCATTGGGAAATTTCCCGTTGATATGAAAATCTGCATAAAAATTATTTGCGGAAAAAAATAAAAATTTAATGAGGAGATGATAGTCTTGATTAAAGATGTAGAATCATTAAAGAGCTGTCAATCTGGAATTTAAAAAAATAATTATTATTTTAAAGACAATCCAGACAAGGAATCAGGGCTTTCTCCTTCATTACCTCACGCCTCCCATTATTATCCTTTAGTCCATTTCTTGTCCTATTCATCCACATGATAAAAGTTAAACTGATAGTGGATGATTGTTGGAATAAATCTGGCAGTTCAAGAATATTAGCAAGCAAATCCACATGTCGTAACTCGGAAATAGAATATTTGATGGAAATAGGAACTGGCGAAAATATAAATTCTAAGAGAATTTCCTTTTTTGGAACCTATCTCCGAAGAAGCTCAGGGTACTTTTCCGTTATGGCACCTCCCCTGAAATGGTACTAAAAATATCATAGTATATAAGGTAATAAGAGGTGCTGAGTCGAACGGTACCAGTCTTTTTTTTCGGGAGATGCCTGTGGACTAGGGTTCAGCGGTATCGTGATACCGCTGAACCCTACTGTGGACTGATACTCTAGGCATTCATGGTAAAAACCAAAAAATGAATAGTTCGAAATATAGTCTAGTTTAGGATAGGTCCTATTCCTAGCATATTATTCCTGGCTTTCTAGAAATTTTTTTCCTCAAATACGCAATTTTAAAATCCGCAAATTTTGTAATAATTTTGAAAAAAAAGTGTAATATTATTTATTTTGACAAAATATTATGGGTGGTTGACGTAAATCTCTATTTATGTTTATGTAAATTTTATTTCCAACAAAAAAATTTTTCATTTTTTCAACAAATGAAAAACATGCGAAAAAAAACTTTAAAAAATAATTTTTATTATTCAAATTCTTGTTATTTTTACTTTTTTCCACGTTTTTACGTTTTAAAAAAATAATGTTTGACGACAATTACACAAGTTTTAATGTTAAATATAACAATAAAAATTTTTAGTTATCAAATTAGACACGTTTAAAAGGATGATTAATCTCTCAACTTTCGTCTTTCAACTTGCCTAAAAAGTTTTATTAGCGAGGAGAAAAAATATATTTCCTCATTTTTATTATTAAAAAGTCTTAAAGGAATTTCTAAGAATTTTAAATAAAAATTATTTTACAAATGATTCATTTTATTTTATAATAACTAAACTTATTTCAATGATTTATACGCTCAAATTTTTTAAATTAATTGGTTTAAAAATTTATTAATATTTATTAAAAGTATTTAATATTTCTAAATATTTTGTGAAGGATATAGCGAGACAATCTTTCAGGAATCTTTACACTAGATAATCAAAAGTACCCCTTAGTCCACTATTAAATGGTCCAAGGTTAGAAGCCTCTGAAGGCCCTCGGATTCAAGAACATCTCTCCTCTCGGGACGTGCCAGCGGGTTAGAGACTATAGCCATAGAATCCGGGGCGGTTCTATCTTAGTATTACATAAAAATGAAAAATTCTACCATACTTTAGAGCTAATGATTGAAAACTTGATAGGATTTACTAAATATCTTTTAATTTTAGGATATTTTTCATAATAAAATTTAGAAAATAATTCTAAATTTATTAGAGGATTTAGTAAAATATAGTTAAATTATGGCTTCAACAGACAAATCTCCTCTTTCAACTGTTAATAAATCTTCCAAATCCAAAATAATTCCAACAGATATGAATACATCAACAACTAAAGCAAATGAATCTATAAAGTCCAAAAGGGAACCCTTTTTTGGCAAATTTAGATTTTGTATTGCCATTCTTCTTGGATTTACTACTTTTTCTTATACTTCATTAAGAATGAATCTAAGTATGGGAATGGTTGGTTAATTTATAAAAGTTCATAGAGTTATAAAGGCAGATACGTGAGAAATAAATTTTGTTTCTCTTATAACTTTCTTTTTATTTTTAACTCTTCTTTAAATCAATTCAAGTCCAAATACGAAGCAATATTTAAATTAAATGGGCAATACAATTTCCCCAAATAAATTAACGAATAAATAAGAAGGGGGAACGCCACTAAAGAGAAAATAACAACTGAACGAATTTGGGGAGAGAGAATTTTCTTTTATAGAAACATAGAAAGGGATACAATGTCATTTATTTATTTTATTTAAATTTAAAGTCATTTGAGTCTGTGCGTCACCACATCTCCACCTTCTAAGAAGACGAGTCCCTCGGCTTAGCATTCGGCTGCGAAAGGGTTTGGTTCATAAACGGTCTCGATCGGCCACTATCATAACGTCTGATTCTCTCGAAGACAGAACGCCTCGGGGTTCGGTCGCCTAGACCTCGCCCCCTTCGATTTTCAATTCCACTCCAACGGCTTCTAGGGGTTTGGTCGCCTAGACCGCGCTCCCTCCAATTTTCATTGTCACTCCAACGACTTCTAGGGGTCGAGTCACCTAGACCGCGCCTCCACGACTCATTCCTTGTTGAGTTCCTTCCGCTTACTTCATTTCTCGGAACAACTCTTTTCGATTTGACGTTCTGAACGCCTAGTTCAACAATTGGCATTTGGGTTGCCTTCAATGTTTCAATTTCGTTCCTTTTCGAACGTTTGTCTATCAACCGGCTCTCAACCTTACCACCTCTCCCCTCCTCGTATTTAGATAATTCCGTCCTCGGAATTGTTTCAAGAGTTTTTCTTTTAAATTCCCCTTTTGGTTTCAAACATTTTTCAATTCTTTTCATTAACTTCGGCGGTTTCAAGTTTACATTTTCATTTTTGTCTCTCATCTTCGAAAGCTTTTTCTTTTCATAAATTCTGGAAATCCTTAATTTTCTTCCTTCAAAAGACAATTCATTTAATTCAAATGCCCTTTTAATTGAAGTCGGATCACTAAATTCGATGTAACCAACTCCTTTGCAGAACCCCGTTTGTTTATTTCGAAGTAAACGAACGCCAGTAATTTTTCCGCATTTAGAAAAGTGAGTCCTAACTGATTCGTCCGCTGTTTTATATGGGAGATTTCCAACAAATATTGACCTTTTTCTATCAAATTTTCGTTTTTGTCCCTTATTAATTTGAAGAAAGTTTTCGTTCAATTTTCTACTGTCTTTATTGGCAGTCTTAGCCTTTTCTTTTCCACAAACACTTATTTTTTCTTCAAATTCAACGTTCTTTTCATCTTCTTTCAGATTTTCTTCAACTTTCTTCTCCTTAATTTTATTCAACATTTCCTTTTCTTCCTTTTTACCAATTCCAACTTTATCTTCAAACACATTGAGTCCTTCTACATCGGATCCTACATCCTCAAATTCAATACTTAATGTTTGGATCCGTGTTCTATAAATGACTCTTTCTGCATCGTTGTTTTGGTCTAAACCTTCACTTCCAAAATCAATTAAATCATTATTAGGGATGTCCAATAATTTAAATCCAAGTTTTACTAGTGAATTTGTGCCGAAAAGTAAGTCATAGCCAAAAGGGGCATCAGTTATGTGAAGACAAGTTTTAATTTCTTCTTGATTTTCACGTTTTATTTCCAGCTCAACAATTCCATGACATTCAAGCTTTTGTCCATTAACATCAGAAATCTTAGTTTTTGCTCTCGAAAATCCGATGTTCTTTAGTTCAATTCCTTTGTCTTTAAGCAGTTTCAAAAGAAAACTTGAACTTATTAACGAAATTTGAGCTCCACCATCTAGCATTCCTGTTGCAGGTAAACCTTTTACTTTAACCTTGATTGACATTACTGGGCCTATAGAATTTTTTATTATCTCCGCTTTTGCTTCTTGTTCAGGGATTTTCTTAAGTTCTTCTTTAATTTCTAAAATGTTTATCCCACAAGAGTTGACGTGATTTTCAGGGATTTCGTCATGGATAGTTATGCAACCGTTTTTAAGCTGATTGCCTGACGGTGGGAGTGCTCTGGTTTGCCCATTTCCTCGCCAAACTGCTGTGTTTCTAGATAGCTCATTAATATTATTTTTGGTATTCAGAAATGTTCTATTAGCTTCAGTAGCAGCTGCCACGTTGTCTTTCGACATATATTGATTATTTCTATTAGAGAAGCAATCACGTGAGAGATGTCCCGGCTTTCCACAGTTAAAGCAGGTAATTTCGTTTCGAGGGGTAAAATTATTGTTACGTTGAGAGAATTGCTGGACAGAAGGTTTAGACTGGAAGTTAATATGCCGAGTCGCTTTTTGCGTCGATTCTGCTCTAGCTGCCAGGGACACGAAACTGTCAAAACTCATTCCGTCGTGTCGAGCTATTTCGAGATTAAGTGCAAGGTTTGAATCACCGATGCTTCTTATTAAATGTTTTATCGAGTACTCATCTAATAAATTATTTGTCATCCCTGGGTAAGCTCGTTTTACTAAAGATGCAATTCTATTAGCAAGTGAATCAATATTTTCATTCTCTCGCCTCTTAACTCCAGACATGAGTTCGTCGAACGCACAAATTTCTTTTGTGTCTGTTGTTTCGAGAATGCGAAGCATTTCGCGTCGAACTGATGAATAAATAAACGGACAATTTCCTAACGCAGTATTAAAAGCTCTTTCCGCTCTTCCGCTGATTTTAGACTCCAAAGCTTTTAACCGCACAACATCTGATATCCCTTCAGTAGCAGAGTCAAATTTTTTGAAAAATGTCTTAATTTGATCCATACCCTCAGGACCTTTCAAATCTGGGATTTTGTCTAATGCCCACGACAGAGACATCCTATCAAAACTGTGCATGAACCCAGCAAAATCAGTTGTGGGTCTCTTCTGGTTAGTTTCACTATTGATTGGTGGCTGCGCCACTTGTGTAACTGGCTGTTGGAAACTTTGTTGGGGTTGAGCTTGATGAATATTGTTCATTTGAGGCGGAAAATTTTGCGGATTATTCGTTGGCATTTGTGAATACTGCATGAACTGTGGGGGATACATGGGCATTAACATAGGCATTTGCATTTGACAATTTGGAAATTGCGTATACATTTGCTGATTTGGGAATTGTTGTGTCATAACAGGCATGTTCGGAATCTGGTACGTAAAACAAACATTCTGTGCCGACTGTGCTGGCGTGGTTTGAGTTTCGTTCGTTCTCATAACATTTTCTCCCCTTTCACTTTCCATATCAAGAATATCGTTCATTCCTGAATTTTCAATATTAGAAGTCGGGTTTTCAGAAGCTTCTAACTCCATTGCTTTGTCTTTTGCCCTACTTTTTGTTAAACCAGGAGAACGATTTATCATTCAATTTCTTTATTGATTACAATTTTGTTTAGGCTCGCCTAGAGCCTTTGATGAGTCACGAAACAAAAAATCAATTCAAACAGTTTTCAAAAATGTGCCCGCCTAGGGTCTTTTTGTTGAGTCAATTTGTTTGCAGCAATTGAATCGATTGCCTGCCAAGGTCAAAGAGATAAAAATTTTCTCTTTCTTGTTTGTTTCTTTTTATACCCACCTAGGGTCTTTTGCTGATTTTTTAAAGAAGAAAATCGATTTTTCACCCGCCTAGGGTTTTTGTTGAAAAAATTAAATTAAAGTTACTCAAGCTCGCCTAGAGCTGTAGATGCTCGCCTAGAGCTTTTAAATTCAAAAAATAAAAAAATTTGTTGTTGCTCGCCTAGAGCCTTCAAATAAAAAATTCAAAGTCGATCTCGAGACCGTTGAAAAATTTAGGAAAATTTTTCGTCGACAGGAGCGCCACGTGAGAAATAAATTTTGTTTCTCTTATAACTTTCTTTTTATTTTTAACTCTTCTTTAAATCAATTCAAGTCCAAATACGAAGCAATATTTAAATTAAATGGGCAATACAATTTCCCCAAATAAATTAACGAATAAATAAGAAGGGGGAACGCCACTAAAGAGAAAATAACAACTGAACGAATTTGGGGAGAGAGAATTTTCTTTTATAGGAACATAGAAAGGGATACAATGTCATTTATTTATTTTATTTAAATTTAAAGTCATTTGAGTCTGTGCGTCACCACAGATAGAGAGAGCCCTAGCTGATTGAGTTTTCTCATAAAAGTTGTGAGCTCTTCTCTCTATCTCTCTCTTTCCCAGTTCAACATATCTATCTATCTCCCACTCTCTTTCCCTCTCTCTCTCTTTGCCAGCCAACATAAAGTTTGGCTAAGTCTAGAACCGGACAGCTTGCCGGGCTCTTTCTTGGCTTATACTGCGAGGAACAATAATCACGGGTCTGTCTTTTCCCGGTAATTTAAGACTTTAGGATTGAAAAAATCTCCATATTTCCACAAATAAACTGAATTACCTACAGGTATGCATGGTTAACTCAACAGCCATACATTTACGGGATAATGACAACGCTGAAGGTTCAAATGGAAAAAATTCGTCATTTAATGATTATGCACATAAAATACATTTGAAAAATCTAGCATATGCGGAAGAATGTGGTGATCGAGAGATAAAATCGAATATACATAGAAACTTGGGATATCAGGTAAGAACCTGAGGTCCTCATCGATCATACATATAATTATTAAGGGCTCAATAGAATGGACAGCCTCTGAACAAGCTAGGCTTTTCGCTGCACTTTTTTATGGTGGTTTTATAACAATTTGGTTCTCGGGCTATTTAGCTGATAGATTTGGCCCAAAGCTTTTGATTGGAATGGCTGTTTTAGATATGTCTGTATGCTCACTCCTTTCTCCAGTGCTAGTTGATCTGAATTATTATGCATTTTTTGTTGCCAGATTTTTAATGGGTCTCGGAGATGTAAGTTTATATCTTGACCCAGAGCATGAATGTTAACCAAGACCATGAATGCCTAAAGACTTTATATGACAGCCCTCGGAGCCCTACATCAATGCGTGTAGGGCTCCGAGCTTCCGAGTTATGATGTCCGATCTGAAAGGATCGGGATATCTTGACATTTATCTAATCCGGATCCAAAGACCCGAGAGTCTATAGTATATGTATAAAATGAGAATGCTTTCGGATTCCATAATAATTTACTTGAGGATAATTTACTTAACGAGCTTCCTCTGAGGTAGGTTCTGTAGTCCGATCTATAAAGTTCTGGATATCTGCATTTATCTAATCAGGATCCAAGGACCCTAGATGTCTAGTATATGTATATGACTAGTAAATGGGTGTGCTCTTCAGTAGTCAAGTATACCTTACTTTAGGGTTTCATCTTCCCAACAGTAGCATCAGCCAATGCTCGTTGGTCACCCCCAGCAGAACGTAGCTTAATGTTCGCAATATGCACGTTGGGTAACCAAATAGCTGCCGTTGTTGCTCTTTTACTTGGATCACGACTTTGTGCCATACAATTTTTGGATGGATGGAGATTAATTTTTCTTAGTTTTGGTAAATTTATAAAAAAAAATTTCGGCTATGTTAAATCAAAAAGGTGCCATTGGAATGACAAGCTTTACTTTATGGACTATTTTCGCTGCAAATAGCCCTGATGAAAGTAGCTGGATTGGTTTAAAAGAAAAACAAATGATAACTGCTAGCCTAACAGCAGGAGGATCTAGAAAATCCATTAGCTCTAGAAGATTAAACACGGGGAAAGTTCCTTGGAGTAAAATGGCTATGAGTTTACCATTGTATGCTGGCATAATTGGACAAGTAAATTGTCAATTTTGTACAATGGTGTTGCAATCTTATTTGCCTACATATTTAAAGGAATATTTGAAATTGAGTTTAAATGATGTAAGACAGTATTTTTTGATAATAAAATTCGTTTCGAGTATTTTGAAAATCATACCTCAAACAGAAATAAGGCCAAAGCCTAGCATAGTAAAACACTAGCGCTTAAGTACGGGTATTCGAATTCTTCGAGCTCCCTGCTTTAGTTTAAAGAGTATTTTGGAAAGCCGAGCTCGAGTAGTACTGACTGGGTTTGTGTATTACTGCCCCTACCCCAAGCTTGAATAGTAATAAGTACTGGAACTAGTTGAATTCGCTTAGTCTAGTTTAAAAATAAAAAGGAAGCTGAATCATTGAGCCAACGAAACTGGGCTTATCAGGTGCCCAAACAAAACCATAAGATAGGATTACGACAGCTACCCTCGCATGTGATAGTGAAACCATAGCCCCATTCAAATAAGGATGTCAGAACATCGACAATTTAATTATGATTTCAGAATGGAATATACTCAATGCTTCCATTTCTCTCAATGATATTTTCAAAAATATTCTTTAGCATTGTAGCCGACCAGCTTCGCAAGCGAAATAAATTAACGGATACACAAAGTGTTAAATTATTTCAAGCCATTGGTAATTAAACGTAGGAATTTTTCATAAAAATTAATTTTAAAGCCAATATTGGGGCGGCAACCTCAGCTTTTTGTATGGCAAAATTCGTTACTTGCAGTAATCCACAATTAGCAATAGTGTTTCTTTTAACATGGGGTAATTATTTGATAAAAATCAAGAGATCATGCACCTTTAGGAATGTGTTTTGGAGCAAATGCAAGTGGATTCTTCACTCAACTTTTGTTGATTGCACCTCGTTATAGTGGCCTAATAAGTTCGATCAGTACAGGATTTACCTATGCAGTTAATGGCATTTCACCATCAATTATTTCAGCGATAATAAAACATGTAAATAATTTTTAGACAAATACATAATAATATTCCGATCGGGTAGGAAGATGGAGGGAATGGACATGTTACGTTCGGACTAGTAATAAGTTGGGAAAGGAATGTCCCGTTCGGACTAGAAGATAAGCTGGAGAGAACAACCCTCGTTTTGACTAAGTTAGGCTAGTGAGTTCCCTTCGGACTAGTAGATAAATTGAAGATACATGGTTCATTCGTAATAGGAGTAATTGGAATGAAATTTCTAGTTAAGACTTAAAATAAAACTGAGAAGGGATCTCTCGTAGGATTAGAAAATAAACTGACAATAATATCTCACTTCGGACTATGAGAAGGCTCGAGAAAACGTGTCAGATTCGGATAGGAAGTATTCGGAAGAAGCAAATACTTTTGTGAAATATTCTATAAATTTAAGGGATAAATCATTTGATATCTCTCCTTAATCCCAGCCCCCAATATTCTTCTATCCCGTCAAATCCACCGATATCTCCCTAAGAGATTGTATAAGCAATCAGAGATTGTATCAATCATATTTTATAAAATTTTCTATATTTTTAAGGGAGCACCTTCAGAGTGGAGAACAATTTGGTATATTCTCTTTGGATCTAACCTATTTTGCGCAGCATTTTTCATACTTTTTGCTTCTGGTAGTTCCAAAATTTAATTTAAATTTAATAAAATATATTAGGAAAACAACAAAAATGGGCTGACGTAGCAGAACTAAGTCGAAGCGAAACACGAACGGAAGATTGCCAGACTGATTAAAAATAATTAAAAAATAACACTAAATTAGTGTTAATTTATAATTAATTTTGTGCCCTACATTTATTTTCATAAAATTAAAAATCTGTGGTTTAATTAAAAAAGAAATGATAATTCATTGTGTGATTTGTTCATATGTAATTATAGAAAGAATTTAGCAAAAGTTTAGACACCGGGTGTGATTAGAACATTCGATGTGTGCGAACATATCGGGACAAATCGGATTTGGGCGACAAAAATAATTCTTGCGTGTTTACGTTTGTTCTATAACATAAAAACTCTATTCCTCAGTTTGATAATATATCTACTATCCAAAACCCAATGGCAGTAGGTACCGAAATCAGTAGGGTAACTGTTCGTACATTATTTCTAGGCGAATTTGCCCACCACATAACAAAGCTCTAGCACTGAGGCAGCGACTGATGCTTTTCAATTTGCCTTTTTAGATCGTTTAACCCCCGCTTAAGCGTTTTAAATGCTGCTAGATGAATCATCCTTAAACTATTTATAAAACTACATAATGATGATTTTATCGGAATATTTTTATTAATTGACTAAATTAGTTTAATAATAATTTACATTTATTAATCTATCGAAAAAATTCAATTTTTATTTGTCATTAACGCTAATTTGCTTAATTATTTATAATAAATAAAATGTCAAGTTTACGATTTTTTATTAAATATTTTCAAATTTTGTACGTTTGCAATGTCATAGGTACATAATTGAATTTTAAAATACGGGTTCTTAAGAGACGCATCAAAACATTGGCGATTGGACCATTAAACAAAGCTGAAAATAAGGCTTCATTCAAGGAAAATAAGGCTTCATTCATTCGAGCTAATGCATCTCAATAGAATGTAACTTTTGGGATGATTGTGAAGCAAATTATTGGACATATCGGGAAGAGTCAACTTAATTAAAGGAGATTAGGGACTCATTACCTAAGGCTCTTTACTAAAATTTAAATCAGTTAAAATAATTTAATTTTAAAATACTAGTTCCTCTCATCGATTCAATGTTTTCATCTACATTTGTCGCACCAAAAAAATGGAGTATGGACAATTCAACGAATACTCCATTTTATTACGGTATTTTTAAATGATAGAATTATTAGGCTAAATTCAAAATATTTCTAAGATGCCCATCGTTGCGGAATGCCAATCCATATTGATGTAATTTTTAAATTTAAATTTTGAAAAGGAAGGGGGGGGGGGGTAAGTACCTAACTTAAAATTTATTAAGAATAATGGATATGTCCGTAGAGAGAAGAGATTTCGTCCTCCACATCTCCGACATCACCGACGACGCTTTAACAAGACACGCGAACATAAACATAGAAAGATGATGGGTGGGTATGAAGTAGAAGAAGGCGATTTACCATGGGCTGTAACTATACATTTAATTTATGAGGCACATAAGGCTATCTGCTCTGGTACTCTCATTTCGAGACGTCATGTAATAACGGCAGCACATTGCTTTGTTAAACCTGGAACCGAACAGCAGGAAGCTGGAAGATGCATGTAGGTTTTCTGGTGGTATCCTTAAATTGAGCTTTTCGGAATTGTGGGAATCGTAGTGAATTTAGGATTTATTAAAAAATTAGGTAATCTATCGATCAAATAAGGTGGTAAATATTAACGTAAAATTAACTTGATTGTGAACATATCAATAGAGTGATCTGAATCAATCGAGCAAAACGATCTAATTGTTCTGTCACTCTTATTTCGAGACGAGTTTTTACCTAAAGAGCTTCAGGGTTTCGAAGCTAGGATGTTTGACGGTTGAGAAAATAAATTAAAATTTGGTACTTATTTAGTTTCCCTCCCCCAGTCAATTTATGAACTTAAGTAGACCTATCGGAGTCGGCGACCTATGCCATAACTTTGTCAAATCATGTCCAATCCCGTTGATTTTGGTGTCATCGACATAGTTCGACGAGTTCTACAACCTTTGACAGACTGAACATTTTTTACATATTTATCGAAAAAATTGACTGGGGGAGGGAAACTAAATAAGTACCTTAAAATTTTGAGTAAAATTCAGTTCATACTCACACAATGCGATCCCAGAGGAAGAGGTCGGAAAATACCGTACAACTTATATCGGCTCAATCTGCACTAAAGCAAATAATACTAAGGGTGAATGTAAATCTGATAGACAACAGAAACGATTTAATATTAAAAAGTAATTAGCTAATCCTTTGAGATTAAGTTTATTTTTATAATTCAGGGCAAAATATTCACATTATTTTGACGCGGAATGTCATATGGGTGATTCTAATAGAATAATATAAATCTAAAATAATTTATAGGTGATTTTGCTCTGTTGGAGTTGGAAGAGGATGTTCCTGCTTCTATAGCAAATCATATAGTAAATTACCCATACTTATGGTATACCAATGATGGGCCTCTTCCGCATCTTTAAAATACGGAAGGCGAAGGCCAAGGAATACGGAAGAGAATAAAAATAGGAGATTTAGCGAAAGATGCAAAAAAGGCGGAAGTAAACGGGAGCGGATAGCTCCCATCTTTTACGTTACCCCTGGTGCCTAAAAAGTATGGGTGATACCGTGATGTTGTGATCAATTGTGTGAACTAATCCATTGACCAATTTAATTTTAAGTGCTTGTTAGATCTCCATCCAACTACACGATTAATTGACTGGCATTCGGATTCTAGACCTGTAATAGCCTATGGATGGGGACGAGATCGTAATATTAATAAAAACTTAGAATATGATTGAATGTTTTATTAAGCAAATCTTTGTACTGGGCGTGGACTAACTGAGGAAGAAGAGGATATTTGTTTAAAGCATGCCCAAGCACAACTTCATTTGCTGGTATTACCTGGAATTTGGAGAGATCACGAATGTAGAACAACACTGGAACGTGAAGCTCCAGAAGACCAAAAAGAAATTAGTGAGAGAAAGGATATTTTTTGTACTATGGAAAAGTCTGACGGAGCTGTTTGTGGCGTATGTAATTATTTTTAAGGAATAAATAATTTATTCTGTTTAAAGGGGGATAGTGGAGGAGGTATTATTGGGCAATTTGAAGATGCCAGTTTTGACGGTGGAAAACGCTGGTTCCTTCTCGGCATCATTTCATTCGGTATTCCCTGTATAGCAACACATTTAGAATATGTTGATCCTATTGCTCAGGTTAGTCTGATTTTAAAAGACACAAAGCTTCGGGCTATTTAAAGCAATTAAGGATGGTATATGTCATCTTAAGGGATCTCTGTAGACGTGAGTACAGTATATTTGGTACTGTCAGTTTAAAAAATCCTTTGGTATAAGAGCTTTTCGACTCCGGATATATACCGCTTAGTCCATAGGTTATATTGCTTATAAGACGGCATTTTTAGGGAGTGTTATGACCCCGCTTACGTAGAGGAGCTAACAAAAACGTTTATCGCACAACGAAATACAAAGCAGATGAAGGTAGGTAGGAAGATCTAAAACTGGGAGCCAGAACTAACTATTGGCTGGGCTTTTATACTAATCACTTCAAGGGCTGACGCCCATACACAACACCTCCCCCCTTGAAAAAAAGGTTCGGCTTCACTTAAAGCCGAAGCTTTACAATATACTCACACTTTTACAATATACTCACACTTTGCCAGCCAAACAAACAAACAAAAATACATACAAAATTTTTGAGGGAATAAGGACAATGGGAACAAAAATAAATACATACAACTTTACAAAAAAATACAACAACAATATTATCACAATTATATTATATGTGGCTCATCTACATCTCCATATTATTATCGTCTTCAGCGTCCTTCATCTTTGACTTGTTCCCACTGTACTTGACACTACTCTTGGTCTCACTAATTTCACTGGATAATTTATAGCCTCTTCAGCATACTTTTTTACACTTTCTTTAGTCATCACTAATTTTTGAGGCTGATTAATATTATCTCTCAAACAATATTTATGTGGCTTATCTACTTTTTTCAATACACTATCACTTACACTTTCACTTTTCCACGATTCATTACAATCTTCACTAAAACTTATATTTCTAATTTGATTTTCATGCCGAGTTACTACGGCATTTAACACTGGCGAGTATATCTTATAGATAACTCCCCTTTTACTTTCCACTTCACCATCCAACCAATTAATTTTACCATCTTTTCGGTAATTTAGGAAATACACTAACTTACCGATTTTTCGGTTTTTCACTCCGTGGTGTTTGTCGAACCAACTTTTCATTTTTACTTGTCGAGGTGTTATCACTTTATTTTCTTGGAAGGTCACTTTTTTTGGTATTAACCTTGCTAAATTCAATCGCAATTTTCTTCCAAGAAACACTTCACTAGGGGATTTCCCTTCCAATGATTCATGAGGACTGGCTCTATAAAACAATAACACTTCACTGAGCCAATTCTTCTTATTACAATTTTTGTCATCATTCTTTTAAAATAATCCACAAATCGCTCCACTTGCCCATTGGATTGTGGATGATACGGGGCACTAAACACTTGACTAATTCCCTTATTTTGACAATATACTTTAAACTCATTTGAACGGAATGGGCTTCCGTTATCAGACACTATTGTTTCTGGGTACCCGTAATGGGTTCCCAACCACTCAAAACACTTTATAACATCTTTTGCTGAGGTCGTCATGTTTTCGAACACTTCAGGCCACTTTGAATGGGCATCAATTACAATAAAATACACTTTTCCGTCTTTACACGGCCCAGCAAAATCAATATGCACTCTTTCCCAATTTCTATTTGTATTTGGCCATGGTCGCAACTCACTTTTAATTGGTCTTTTTGCCGCTGCTTGGCACATTATACAATTTGCGACCCAATCTTCAATATCTCTACTAATATTTGGCCAATACATATACTCCCGGGCAACTCCTTTCATTTTTGCACTACCCGGATGTGTTTCATGTAACACTTTCAATACACTTTTCCTCAAAGCTTTTGGGATCACTATTTTTCCACTACACATAATACACTCATCAATCACTTCCAATTCTTGTCTTCGATTTGACCAAATACTTAATGCTGGATCACTCACTACTTTTGGCCACCCATTTTTAATAAATTGTTTAATCGTTCTTAATTCACTATCATTTTCTGTCTCACTTTTCACTTGTTCGGCATTCACTGGCACTTCATCCAGCATTATGTTTAATACATATTTAACTGACTCTTCCACTAACAATGAGTCCTCCTCACCACAATCTTCATCACTACAATTTTTACTTTTTGCCACTAATGCAATCACTTTATCTTCTACTTCACTTTTTTCACTTATCAATCTTGACAATGTATCAGCCATACCCATCTGGTTTGTACTTACAAATTCGATTTTAAAATCGTAATTTGTCAATAACAAAGCCCATCTTTGTAATCTTGATGCAGAGAACACTTTGATTCCTTTATTTTTGCCAAAGATGGCCAATAACGGTTTATGATCCGTTCTCAATACGAACTTTCGGCCGAATAGCATTTTATGAAACTTCTGCACTGCAAACACTAATGCTAGGCCCTCTTTTTCAATTTGACTATAATTTTTCTCTGCATCATTCAATGACTTACTCGCGTATTCAATCACTTTTTCTTTTCCATCAGGAAATTTATGTGATATCACTGCACCCACTCCATAATTCGATGCATCAGCTGTCACTACTATTTCTAAATCTGGATCGAAATGCGTTAGCATTAAATCAGAATTTAGCACTTTTTTAACACTTTGAAAGGCATGTTCTTGATCATGCCCCCACTCCCACTTCACTTCTTTTTTAAGCAATTTATCTAATGGCCCTCTATATTTATGCATTTCACTAACAAACCGCTCATAATAATTAATTGTACCATCACTAATTTTCTTTTTCTTTTCTGGGTCTGGCTCAATTCCACTTTTAGATACAATATGGCCTAAAAACTTCAATTTTTCTTTAAAGAAATTACACTTTTCTAACTGGATTTTTAATCCCCACTTTTCAATTCGATCAAATATTTCAAACAATTGCACTTTATGATCTTCAATATTTTTAGACACTATTATTAAATCATCTAAATACGCAAACACTCCAGGAATTCCACTTATCAATTTATCCATCAATCTCTGAAATATTCCTGGTGCTGATTTCACTCCAAACGGCAATCTTTGCACTTCAAACAATCCTTTGTGTGTATTAATACACGCCACTTTTTTAGATTGCTCGTCTAACTCAATTTGTAAATAGGCATCTCTGAGATCCAATTGCGAAAACACTACTTCCATGGATCTCAGCCCATATTTCACTAGGCTTTGGCAAAGGATGCCTATCCAATTCAATTGCATTATTCAACCCCGTTGAATAATCCATACACACTCTTGTTTTGCCGTTTGCCTTTTTAATGGCTAAAATAGGCGCTGCCCAATTAGCAAATTCAATTGGCTTAATAGCTCCAATTTCACTCAATCTACTTAACTCTTTTTCAATTGCGTCTTTAACGCCAATTGGTACAGGTCTAGCCCGTACAAATACTGGACTCACTCCTGGCTTCATATACAAATGAGCCTTCATTTTTGTACAATGCCCTAAGCCTGGCTCAAACACTTTCTTAAATCGCACTGACAATCTGTTTACTATTTCACTAATTTTACTTTGTGCCTTTTCAATTTCTAACACTTTAATCGGTTCTTCACTTTTTTTAATACTCGACACTATTGGATATCCCAATTTATTCTCAACTTCAATTATCCATGGCAGGCCAAACAAATTCAATTTTTCACTTGTGACATGTGTCACCAATACTTGTTTACTATCGTCTACTTCGACACTCGCCATAAAACTGCCCAACATACTAAACTCGTTTCCTGTGAAACTTCTACCCTTGCAGGGTACTCCAGTGAGCTTTGGGCTACCAATATTCTTCCATGTCACATCACTTATACAACTGATTTGAGCCCCTGAATCCAAAATGAATTCCACTTCGTTTCCGTTCACTAACACTTTTTTTGTTAACCATTTAGGTTTCACACTCATACTCACATGGAGAATATCAACACTGTTCTTTACATTACACTCATGGTTTTCCCACCATGTTTTTACTTTACTTAACAGGGCCATTTTTCTTATGTAGCTGTTGCCGAGCTTTTCTTTTTGTAGCTGTTGCCGAACTTTTTTTTTTGTAGCTGTTGCCGAACTTTTCTTTTCTAAATAGACGAGACTGGTTCTTTTACACGACCACGCCAATTGTTATGACCACGCTTACGTAGAGGAGTTAACAAAAACGTTTATCGCACAACGAAATACAAAGCAGATGAAGGTAGGTAGGAAGATCTAAAACTGGGAGCCAGAACTAACTATTGGCTGGGCTTTTATACTAATCACTTCAAGGGCTGACGCCCATACACAACAGGGAGACTTAGTAGGCGGAAGTAAGGTTGGGGTTTTTTGTAACTGATATTCGGAACTTGTTGTTGAACAGAAATTTTTTGGCCTTATTGCTCAAGGCTTCGATTTGTCATACTTTTTTAATTTCAAGGGGCATACGAGTGTCGCCTACCATAGCGAAGAAATAATTAAATGGATATATGGAGATTCGGATATATTGCCATCTAAGGAAAAACATTCTAACGTGAATAATAAAAAAATTTTCGGTTTAAATTTAAAATTTTTAATAGGAGGAATTAGAATATGAACAATTTGAGAACCTGGAAGTTGATAAATGTAAATAAAATAGATATGCTGATTAAACATTTTTAAAATCTTGATAAATTTTTCATGATTTATTATAAAATTAATTGAAACAAATAAAATAAAAATTTCTTGAAAAACGACTTTAATGCATAAGTATCATTCACATCTTCTAGAGTTGGGTTGGATTTCCGATTTCCAACTCTTTTCTCCTTGAGGTTTAAGAAAATTTAGGCTGATTTCCGATTTCCTACAATTTTGATTTACCGGAACCTTCGTAATTTGCGGTCCATCTCTGCTTTCTTCAAAAGAAGAAGCAATACAATATTATTGCTATCACAAAAATAGTGAATCAACATCTTCAGCAGACCGGACTGATGTGTTATCACTTACACCACGATGCATGGCCTAGGAATTAATATCTATATGCTTTACAATATTAAATTATTAATAGTGTTATTCATAATTAAGTACCTACTTTTATTTTTATAAAATTAAAAATTAATGATTTAATCAAAAATCAACGAGTATGATTCATTGGGAAATTGTTTAATATTATAAATTTAATAATGTTCCGATCAGAAAAATTTTATTAAATTTGTGGACTAAATTATTTTTAATAGCAATTTATATTTATTAATCTATCTAAAAATTAATTTTTATTCTGCCATTAATTAGATGCCTATTTTACGATTATTTATTAAATTCTTGAAAATTTTCTACTTTTGCAATGTCATGGGTGATTAAATTTTAGAATAAAAAAAAGGCTCACTCCAGAGATGGGATGTAGTCGAGTTGCGAGTCTCTTATGTTAAGTACCAACATGATTATAGGAGTCTAAGATTATAACAAAAGTCAAATTGAAAAATTTAATTTTAAAAATCCACACCTGTGGACTCTTTCCTAAAATTCATATCAGAATAATTTATTGTTTAAGAAGTTCCTTTTACCGCTTCAATGTTTACCTCTACATTTTACGCACCAGAACAATGGAGTATGGACAATTCAACTAATACTCCTTTTTATTACGGTATGTTTAAATGTCACAATTATTAGACCAAGTTCAAAATATTCTTAAGATGCCCATCGTTGTGGAATGCCAATCCATTTTGATGTAATTTTTAAATTTAATGTTCTAGGAGAAGGGGGGGGCAATATGTGGGAGAATCGTTACTTCCTCAATATTTATTAAGAATCATGGATATGTCCGTAGAGAGAAGAGATTTCGTCCTCCACATCTGAGACATCACCGTCGACGCTTCAACAGGACACGGGAACATGTACATAGAAAGATGATGGGTGGGTATGACGTAGATGAAGGCGATATGCCATGGGCTGTATCTATACATGCAATTTATGGGGGAATTGGTGAATTCTAAATTATTTTTAAATGAAAAAATGATTAAAAAATATAGATTTTGCTTTCTGTTCTGGGACTCTTATTTCGAGACGTCATGTAATAACGGCAGCTCATTGCTTTTCTAAATATGTAAATGTGCCGGACGATGTTGAAGAATGCACGTAGGTTACGAAGCCCTGCTCTAATAAAATAGATTCAGTAGTTTCTATAGAGTTCTAGTACCTTAAGTCGATAGCTCGTGTTTTGGTGGATTTACCTCATGAGATTTTCTGGCTATTAGACACTAGGTCTCGATTTTACAAATAGTATTGTTTTTGATATTTTCCATCAACTATATCTTAAATTATTTTTCCAAAATAGAGTAGGTAGTGGCTCTAGTTTACTATGGTAAACTAGAGGCTATTATAACTACGGTAGATCTCATTCCATTCTGGGTCAATTCAAGGATCGGGGTTTGCTTGGTTAAGTCCTTCGGTGTTTGGTTCTGGATTTTTGCCAAAGATTAATGGTATTTCGGGCGACGGGGTGCTACCGTATCAAAAACAGCCCAACATGATCCAAAGGATCGCGTTGGCATTGATTTTGACTCGAAAGAACTCTGCATGTTTGACTCGCGATAAGCATACTGAATCAAATCGCGCTTCTGAATTGGAGAGAGCAACAAAAATTCAGTAGCTTTGAGTAACATTTAGTTCATACTCACTCAATGCAATCAAAGAAGAAGAAATTGGAGAATACCATGCAGCTTATATCGACTCAATCTGCACTAAAGCAAATAATACTAAGGGTGCATGTAAATCTAATAGACAACAGAGACGATTTAAAATTAAAAAGTAATTGGCTAGTCCTCGTCAATAAAATCTTAATTTTGAAATTTAGGGCAAAATATTCAAAGTTTTTCGATTCACAATGTGTCGGTAATGATTTTGCTCTCTTGGAATTGGATGAGGATGTTCCCGCGTCCATAGCAAATCATATAGTAAATTACATTATTATGTAAATATTAAAAGTTAGAGCTAATTTAAGTGTTTGTTAGATCTTCATCCAACTACACGTTTAATTGACTGGCATTCAGATTCTAGACCCGTGTTGGCTTACGGATGGGGAGCAGATCGTAAATTTTATAGCGATTAAAATCAGTGTTTCAAAATTTGAAACTCGTGCTCAACACCGTATCATACTAAACTCTTTCCCTCATATTCTACCCAGTGTACTAGGTTGACGGTTCCGGGTATCCGGAACAGAAAAAACCTCGGATATCCGTAAATTTTCGGTTAGGACATCGGTTCCGGATCTGGTTATCCGTAATCATTTGTTCGGACTTCGGGAACGGTTCCGGATATTCGAAATCTTTGGTTCGGATATCGGTTCCGGTTCCAGATATCAGAAAATTTAGGTCCGTATATTATTCCGGTTTCGGATGATTCCCCAGGGACCTCCGGATGATTTTCCAGGATGATTCCCCAGGTTCCGGAGATTCCCCAGGGACCGCCATCCTTACTGTATATTTCGCATCATCCAAAACTCTTTCCTCCGTATTCTACCTTGTATTAGTTACGACATAAGTCTACCTTATAAGACTTATGTCGTAAGACAGCCCATATAAATATTTCAAATGTTATATTAAGCAAGTATTTGTAGACGTGGGGATAAGGAATGTTATAAGGTACAACAAGCACAGCTTAATTTACTCGTACTACCTGGGATTTGGAGAGATCATGAATGTAAAGAATCATTGAATAAAGCATATGTAGACGGTCAAGATGTTTCTGATATAAGGGATATTTTATGTACTATGGAGAAGTCTGACGGAGCTCTTTGTGGCGTATTTAATTAATTTTAAGAATTAAATAATTTATTTTAATTAAAGGGGGACAGTGGAGGAGGTCTAATTGGGCAATTTGAAGATGCCAGTTTTGGAGGGGGGAAAAGATGGTTCCTTCTCGGTGTGGTTTCTTTCGGTATACCTTGTCAAAATACCCATTTCGGATATGCTCTTCCTAATGCTCAGGCTAGTTTGCTTTTAAAATGATAGACCGGTTCGGTTATTTAAGGCACCTCGGGTATGCCTGAGGGTATATGGCATTGTAGACTGGGGTACAATGCCACTCCCGTCCAGTATGTATGAACTGGAACTTAAACAGAAAATCTGTGTGTATCATAACTTTCGATTTAGGAAAAGGCACAGATTAGGTAATGTCTCTCATGATATATGTATGCTTCATAAGAACCTTATGCCATTTAACGGAGTATCTCTAGATGGGAGTATCAGAAACTTGTATCTAAAGAAAATATTTTCGAGTATCTAGTCCTTTTTCAATCTTGGATATCAGTAATCACAACAAAGGCCTCCATTTGGTAATTAATTTTTATATTTGATTTCAAGGGACATACAAGTGTCGCTTACCATAGCAAACAAATAATTAAATGGATATATGGAGATACGGATATATTGCCATCTGTGAAAAAACATTCTAACGTGTATAATAAAAATTAAAATTGTTTCGGTTTAAATTTAGAAATATTTTTAATAGGAGGAATTAGAATATGGACAATTTGAGAACCTAGAAGTTGATAAATGTAGCTAATACTTTAATTTTTGTTAGATTTTTATGTTCAAAATTCATTTAAAAATCAAAACAAATAAAACAAAAGTTTCTTTACAAAAGACATTAAGGCATAAGTATCATTCACCGCGTAATACCCACGCTTCTTTCGACGGAAGTAGAAGCAATACAATATTATTGCTATGGCAAAAAGTAGAGAGATCAGAAGGAATAGAATAACAAATGTAATAAAGCCTGAAATTTAAGGAATAAATTTTTTTAAAATCATGTTTAGTAAAAATTCCGATTTTCAGGGTTTAGCTCCTAAACCTGGGCGGGTCTTGCCTGAAAAATCTGGACTGAGTCTGCTGAGTCTACCAAAAAAATAAGAAATCAAGCTTTTCAGCGTCAATCCGCCTCTACTTTTGGTATAGATTAGGTATTTAGTCAGAAAAGCGGGCATTTTTATAAATCCGTGTATAGGGGCTTCCTGATTTTTGTGGTTCAGCTAGGACTCCCGGACTGGCCTTGTGATTAGGGCTGTATAAATACAAACTAGAGTTGGGCGGGATCGGGATCCCGGTCGGGATCGGGCGGGATTATCCCGGTTTTTTTGAATCCCGATCCCGATTTTTCTGATCCCGAACCCGAAAGACAAATCCCGATCCCGGTTTTGGCCGATCCCGATCCCGAGCCGGGATCGGGACCGGGATCGGGATTAGCAATCGGATCCCGATGAAATCGGGATTTTATAAATTAATGAAAATATATATTAATGAGCTGAAAAGAAAGCAATTTGGCTTCTACGTCATCCAAAATTTTCAAAATTTTCGCCTGCGGCGCTAAAAATGAAGATTTTGGCTTGAGAATCTTCGAAATTTTTCAAAATTTTTGCCTCCGGCGGTGAATAAGAAGAGACTCATTTATAAAACTATCGACGGAATGGATTTGAACGGATATAATGGATATCCTAGATGTCCATCTAGATCCCAATATCTCATTAATCAACGATATCCCTCTTAATCCATCAGAATCACCTTATCGTTAATACTTTATCCCTCCTCCTTAATCCCTGATACGCCAAGAACAAATGCGCGCTGGGACTTAAAATCAATATTTCAGCACAGCAGATGAAAATTATGGAATTATATTGAGGTATATGCAATGTAAATAAAAATTTAAATTTTGAAAATTTTTTTAACTAAATCCCGATCCCGATTTTTCAATCCCGATCCCGAGTCGGGACCGGGATCGGGATAATTATTCCGAATCCCGATCCCGATTTCGTCCAATCCCGATCCCGCAGTCGGGATCGGGACCGGGATCGGGATCATCATTCCAAAATCCCGATCCCGATTTTACGTCGGGATCCCGATCCCGCCCAACTCTAATACAAACTTGTATGTTCTCCACTAAAATACCAAGCCCCAGCAGCAATACCACCTGCTGCCAAGGCTAAATTAGCGCCTGACAATGCTTTTGATCTGGCCTTTTGAACCTCGTCTTTTGCGTTGTAGGTATTAAATTGGGGAGGTTCGTATGGCCGATAGTTTTGTCGTCTATTCATTCCTCGAATTGGCATGTTTCTGAGATTTTTGCTTGTTCCTATAACATCATCTATTTTGTCAGCACCGTTTTTCATAACTTTAAAAGTTGGAAATTTAGTAAATTAGAAATTTAAGAGCCTGAGAAAGAGTTATTTTATTATTAGGAAAAGTTCTGTATAAAAATTATTTTTGGAGATGCTTTATGGCCATACATCAATTTGTGGCTATAAATCATTAGATTGCTTCTGGAGCAATATCTCTAGGGGAATTCTGTGGGAATTTCAGGATAAATTTCTGGAAATTTTTTTTATTCCTAGGAAATAAAATCATAAAAGGCTTTGAAAAAGGAGATTTGTTTATCCTACCCAATATTTAAAACCCAGTCATCCTTTTTTTATCAACTCGCCCATCCCTCATACGAAGAGATTGGTAGAAGAGTTATTATAGATAAGGGGTTCCTATATAAGGAACAATTTGTATACATATCCTAGTAGGGGTTAAGAAAGTAATCATTATAATCAGAGGTGAATCGGGATTCCGAGTTCAGAGTTCCGAAGGTTTAGGCTATTTCCGAGTTCCAACTTTTGAGCCATTTCCGATTTTCGACAGTTCCTATTTCCGGCACCTTTGTGATTTCCGATTCACTTCTGAATAAGAGTTCCTTTATCCACCCGAGGCTTTTGTGTACTATAATTTAATCAAAAACTTACCAAATTTCGTTCCTACACCTACAACATCATCAACATTGTCTACGGCTGCAGCTGCACCTGGCACAGCCTTTGCTTGTCCAGTTATTTTGGAAAATAGTTTGGATATATGGCTAAAAGGCAATCTGCGCTTTACTCTATTCTATTAAATTATTTAATTTTTAAAAATTATTTTTTAAATTTTCTAACATTATTGCCAGTCTCTCTAGGCGAACAAAAATGTTGTTGGATAGTTAAGACCGTTAATAAATTAATAAATATAATTTTATAATTAATTAGCATTTAATTGTTCAATTAATAAATTAATTAATAACGGCATTAAGTGGTGATTAATAATTTAATTTTTATTATTTTATTAAAAATAGCATCTTGAAATTAATTTTTCACTCAATTCTTATCGGAAAAAAATAATTTTAGAAATTAAAGTTGACTCATAAAATTTTGATAAAAAATAATAAAAGCTTCCATTTATAGTAGAAAACAATATAAGCCGTAGAAACATGACGCAGAATTATTTAAAAATTAAAAAAAGACAAAATAAGAGGGCAAAGTGGGGTTAAGTGGGCAAAGTTTTTCGGATCCAAAAATCATATTTACATACTTTCGAGTTTCAGAATTTTTTAAAAAATGCTTTTGATTTCATAAGTTCTGAATAGAGAAAAAAAGTCTAAATTCAGACCTCATTTTCCGATACCTCTAACACTAACGTAAAACAAGTTACGTTTTAAAAAATTTAGTTGGCCGATAGGTGGGGGAGCGCTTAAGCGACACCTCCAATTTAAGATCCATACTATTATAAGATAAAATTAAATTAACTCCAAGTAGGGTTGGCGGATTCTGAGATCCTAATCCGATATATGTTGCGAAAATTACAGGATATTCGGGCGTTTTTCGGAACCAAAAATCCTGATCCAGCGAGTAATAGCCTCAAGAGGGCATTTAAAAAAGAGGTACGATTTATGAGTCAAAGCATTGGATCAAATTCGAAGTCTTCCAAGCCTGGCCTTATATTTAAAAATTAAATAGGCAACTAATTTTAAAATTAAAATTTTTTTGATGATTTTAAGGGTAATAATAGCAAAAATATTTTATAATTATTTTATTTGTTAGGATACAATCCTCAATTATATTTTTAATAAAAAAATCAAAAAGCAAAAAGTAAAAAAACTTAACAAAAATAGAGGGAAAAGGGAGAGAAAATAGATAAAAAATATTTTTTTTTCGAATTGCTGACAGCCGCTGATTCATCCTTTTGTTTGCTACTATCGGGTCAATTAACGATCACTCTTGGGTGGAGAGGACATTAATTTTTTTATGTTCGAATTTTCAGCAAACAAAGATTTTAAATTGTTTAATTAAATTTTTTTATTGTTTTTTGGAAATTTTATTTTTGTTTAACGAAGATACGAAGTAAGAAGCAGAGGTTGATCGGAATTCCGATTACCTACGATTTTTTCCTTTCGATTTCTGATTTCCGAAAAAAATTCTTGATTTCCGATTTCCGAGTTCCGACTTTTGAGCCGGTACAGATTTCCTGCTTTTCCGATTTGCGACACCTCTGACTGTTCGCCCCACCTCTGGAACGGAGGAACTTGTTGGTAATCGACATTTGAGAACCCGATATTTGTGAACTTGATAGTTGAAAACTCAACATTTGCGATACGACATTGAGAAAATGACATCTGAGGGCACGACATTTGAAAACTCGACATTTGTGAACACGACATTTTAGTACCTGCTATTTGCGAACAATCATTTGAGAACACGACATTTGAGTACACGCTATTTGAGAACTCGGATTTGATTGTTGACATTTGAGAATAGAGGAGATGATTCAAAATTTGAAACTGGATAGAACGAGAAGTAAATAGCAGAAGTGGCGCTAGTCTCGTACCCTTGAAATCTCGTATTTTTTTGAGAATCTCGTATCTCATGAATCTCGTGTCTCGCATTTTATGGGAATACATAGAGCCACCCCTGGTAGATCGGCAAGGTCTTTACCTGATCTTTACCTTCTATCCTAATAGTGGATGAGACTTTAATTAAGAACCTTTATTAATATATCAAAAATTATCCTTCCCAGCTGTCAATAATTTCAATAATTTCCATTTTTCCTCTATTTTCACAATAAACATCATCCTTTTTGTCACTCGCGCAGCAATTCCAATCGATTCATTCATGCACACAAAATAAAATTTTCGGTGTGTAAACAAGCACGGATTGCACACAGGTATACATCTGTCTCCCTCCCTCCACTCCCTTTCTCTCCCTCTACCAAAAATTCCCCCTCCCCCTCCCCCCGCTTTTTACTTATTGACAGCATCATTGCTTAGTAACCATATTTGTAAATAAATTTTCTCTTATAAATTCTTGGAATTTAATTTTTAATTTTTCGTCATATTTTTTAACAAATATCAAAACCCTTTAAACAATTACTCAACATTATTTTTAAATTAATAAGCGCTCGCCTCCCCCTAGACATTAAAAAACAGGGCGGTATGTGTTGTAGCTAGCTGAGCGCCATTTTGAATTTTGACGAATTTTAGTTAATATTTTTTTATTTTTCTTATATTTTTTTTCTTAAAATTTTGTGTCGCACAGCCTATAAAATAAAATTTGAGAGAAGGGGAAATAAAGGCAAATAATTTTTTTTATTTTTAAATTAATGCGTGTCATTTCCTCCCAACTTACTTTCTCAACTCTCTTTACTCTCGATTATTTGTTTAATAATTTATTTAATTTTAATAAGACCTTTAATTAAAGAAAATTTAATTCGGAACTTAATAAAAGATAACGCTATGGTAGATAACCCGTCGTCTAGCCATTGGACGAGGGAGCTTCTAAAGAGCAAACCCTCTATTTAAATTAATCCTTATTATTTTGAGGATCAAATTAATCTTAAAATTTATCTTGTAGTAATAGAGATATTAAAGAGATACCCTCTGTTTAAAATACCCGTCGAGGGTGGGAGAGCTTCTAAAGAGCTAACCCTCTATTTATATAATTCCATTATAAGACACTACATTCTGCTTCATATAATTACCCCCCCCCCCCTATGTTTTTTTTGATTTTCGGGGACCTATATCTCAGTCCACAGGCAACCGGACAAAAAGACCTCTATATACCCTTATTTATATTAATCTCACTAAAAGACACTACATTCTAGCCTCAAGATTATATCTCGTAGTGTCAATGTATGGGGAGTTTTTAAAGTGATACCCTCTATTTAAAATACTTATGGGATACAACATTTATCATAATAACCCTTTGATAGATAACCCGTCGTCTGACCATTAGGAGAGGGAGCTTCTAAAGCGCGAACCCCTCTTTTTAGTGTAATCCCATTAAGAGACACTACATTCTAACCTCAAGATTATATCCTTTAGTGTCTATGTAAGGGTTCTTTTAAAGAGATAACCTCTATTTAAAATACTCATAGGATAAAACATATATCCTCAATACTATTGCGTCTTGTATTGTTATTGGCTGGGGACCTTTTAAAAAATTATTATTTTTTGAAGCCCCCTATTAAGCATATCCCTTCATAGGATACTACTTTCTTGATTGTATCTTGGGATCTCATTGTATGGAGAGCCTTTAGAGAGATATTCATCCTTATTTAAAAGACTATAAGTTACAATATTCTAAGGCTCATGATTGTATCTTCAGGTGCTTATAGGAGTGAGATTCTTCTAAATATTTACCTTAAAATTTAAGCATCTTTTGATTTTTAAATCCTATCCTTTAAGATTAAAATGGATAAAACTAAAAGATTTAATGTCCTCTTCCTCATTATTCTAATTTTACTTTCAAATTATGCTGATGCAAGAAAATCGGGCGGTGCTGTATCCCTCCTAATCAAATAAACAAACTAAAAATAAATGTTGCATTCACATGCATTCACAGGCACATATATTTTGACCTCTTTCTATATTAAAAGGAATCCCGACCGTTATCAGAGTCTATCACAATTCCCGACCCTTATCTTAATATTTGTTATTCACTTGTTTTCGCCAATCTCGACTTATTAATGTCCCCTATAAATACTCATCCAAAATGGTCATTCAAATCTAATTAGAAGTGTTTTTATCAGGTCTGGCCAGACTCTTGTAATTGTCCCCTTTTCCCTCCCTTATGTATATATTTTAATTTGTAAATAGTTAGATGTAAATAAAGTTATTTAAAGAGTAGAATTTGTATAATCCTCGAAAGGCTTCGGAACCCAAACCCAACATTTGGTGCCACTTGTCCCGGGCAAGCCTTGTCGAGAGAAATGCGCATGAAATTAAAGCATAAAAAACGGAATTCCAGAAAAGTCGTAAATTAAATAATTAAATGTGCTGAAAGTAGAATAAAGAGATTAACAAATCCTCAAAAAATTGAGAGCTCGAGCTTAAACTCCTTAAATGATCTAAAATAAGAATTTTGCAAAAAGAGGTTAAATGAAGACAAAATTAGAACAAATTAGAATCGAAAGTTAAAAGTCGAAGAAAATAAAATTAAAATATTGAGCTAGAAGAATGTCATGAAATTTTTTTGTTTGGTTAAAAAGTGTTCTAAAGTTTAAAGTTTTAAAAAGTAGAAAAGATATGCTAACCGTTAGTTTTAAATCAAAATCAGAGAAACAAAGTAGCGCCGCGGTATTGAAAAATGCTCTTTGCTACCTCTTGATTATCTCTTTGCACATGTGAATAAAAGTTGTAGTACTGAAGGCAGGTGAAGCTAGGTGCACACTCTGTCGGCTAGGTGCCAGGTACTTAATATAATAATGAAAATCTGTACAGTAATAATAATAAATCAAGGCGGGTGCAGCTAGGTGCACACTCCGTCGGCTAGGTGCCTTGAGAAGGATATTAAGCGGGTAAAGCTGGGTGCATACGCCGCAGGCTTAAAAGCCAGATACTCCTTGAGATTTAAATATCTCGAAATTTTTTTTCAGTGAATATTTTGTATATGAAGATTTAAAACAACGGCAAGGTACAAAATTGAAGATAAATTTTTTTGATAATTTCTGAATGAAATGGAAAATTTGTAGAAGAGATTGAACGAAATGGAAAATGTAGAAAATACCATAGCTTAGGCTTCAAAATTGGTATCCAACGAAATTAAGGTGCAAAATTTCGTTGAGAAAGGAGAAAATTATTATATAATCAACAAAAGTAATCATGTAATGTTAGTTACCTATGAATAAGATATTAAAATATGAATTAAATTAAAAACTTGTTAGAAAGAAAAGTAAATAATAGTTCAGAAAGAACAATTTAATTCATTAGTTCAAAAAAAAAAACAGAAGCTATATTAAATAAATTGAGATAAAACGCTAAAATAAAAAATAACCTAAATTTGTCGAACATTTCTTAACAACATAAGAAATCTGGTCAGACCCACTTAAAATAGTAAGCGAGAATCAAATTTTAACCGTCAAATACACATTAAAAACTTAAACTGACGAGAATTGTAAAACAATTAGTATAACTTATGGAATAGTAAAACTTTCCGCTCTAAATAATTGACATTGCTAGGCTAAATTTGTGTTGAAAAAAAAAATATTTATTAGATAAAAGTAAAGGTTTAAATATTTATATGGAGGAAAAACAACAAACATTTAGAAATAGATTGTGGAAAATGACACAAATTTCAGAAAATTATGTTCAATTAAATATTTTTAGTTCAGAGGAAGAAAAATGGATATCCAGAGAATTTAAATGTTAAATTAATTTACAAATCGGTGGTTAGTTTACTTAAAATTAAATTTGAAGCTATCACTGATATTTTAACTCCTCTAAAATTAGTACAACATAATTATTTTAATTCGGCTGGAAGTGGGGATATAAATCAACCAGATTTACAAGTCTATACTGCTGGAAAACTTAATTTGCCATAAAAAATAAAAGGATTAAATAATCAAGATACCCTCCACTTGGAGGAATTTGTTTAGAAGATAGACAATTTCCAGATGCTGTTAATCATCCAAAAGTTTTTCCATCCATAATCATTTCACCAACAAATCTTACACTCGATTGAAAAAAAATGCGGAAACTTAAGCATATAGATAAACTTAAAATAAAGTAAAATACCCCTATAAAGAGAAATGGCAATAAAATTTTTTGAGATGTGAGAGAAAATGATATACTGATTAGAATCCAATTACAATACCATTAATACCGAGAATTCGCATAAAACTCCGGTCATGAAAAAAAAAATTATTTTTCTCAACTAATAACTTAAGCAAGCGTAAAATTTGAGCCCTCAGACAAAAAACACCAAACTGCGAATATTAGTTATATTAAACAGAACTAAATAAAATTTAGAAGAAAGCCAAAAATAAAAATAATTTAACAAATCCAATAGTTTCTAGTTTTCTCAAGTGAAAATAAATTTAGAATAGACTTTGGAGTTCATTTTTAAACACAATTGGAAGAAAGTCTTTAAAATTAAAAAAGGAGGTTTCGGAAAAAACTGCATTAAAAAAGCCTCTCCAATCTCCAAATTTTTGAGTAGAACTGAAAAAAATCACTAGACATGCTTTGATCACTATTATACAGGAAATGGATTTATTATAAGGAAGCAGAATGTAGAGAATTTATGTGAATCTGTAGACAATTAAAAGAAAAACAATTTCATTATAGGGGCGAACACAGAAAAAATATATTTGGACTTTTAATTAAATAATTCTCTTGATCCGATTATAATTCTCTTGATCCGATTATCACCCAACTGTTAGTATTGGGAATTCAGAAAAATATAAAAAGGTCATTGAAAAATAAGAGATAAGTGATCAAATTTTAACCGCAGATACATATTAAAATAAGTAACTTACCTTAAAGTATGCCATTGTTACAACTGTTAAAATACATAGAGCAGATGATAAACATATTTTAAAAGAATGTAAAAATACTCATAAAGAAAAGAGATGGAAACTAAATAAGATACATCCGAAGTAAGGATTTAAATAAAAAATGCCATGTGAGAGAATTGTCAATCAAGGCGAAATGACAATGTAGAAGATAATCAGTTCAGAAAATGATCCTCATTAAAAATATTAATCCTCAAACGAGAGTAGAGTTGAAAGTCATGCAAACCCACTAATTTAAAAAAAAAGGATGCTTAAACGATTTTAAAATATATATAAAATTAGGCTGTCAGATAAAATTCGGGCTCATTCAAAGACAGGCTAAATTAAAATTATAAAGAAGAAATTTTTCTATCACGAAATCAAATGATTTAACCGAGATGTTAAAACATAGCCCTGGACATAACAAATATTGGATTCCGGTTACTAGTTGCCTTTATCAATTTAAAAAAAAAAATATTAGGCAGCATTGAATAAACATTAAAAAAAATACAGAGATCGGAATAATTTAAAACAAAAACCCTCAGGTTCTTAATTGGAACTATAGAAGTAACTTTAAAAATAATTATTTCGTTGTTCAATAAAAAATACTTTGATGTAAAACCAAATCGCCGCACCTGCGAGCTTAAAAAAAATTCAACAAGCCTCGTTAATCAAATTTTAAAAGAGAATGGATATTAATCAGCAAATTAAATATTATTTTAAGTTATAACTGGTTCAGCCTAAAAGCTCACAAGGAGACTAAATAATTCCGAGTATTTTTCTTTCGAAAATTTATATGTAATTTTGCAGAGATACACAGTTCCCCGTATATCTTATAACAGGAGCTTCAAATATTGCTTAATCAGAATCTCTATGCAGAGTTGAGTAGTAACGCATTGACCAGTGCAAAAATAGAGACAACAAATATCTAGTGAAAAAATCCTAGATACATAAAGTAATCATTCAATTTGAAACTCTGAAAGACAGTAACATAACTCTTAAATCAAAAAATAATAAAGAAATTTGAATTACTTGCGAGAAAATAAAAAATTAAAAATTCGTGCAGATCTATAAGAGGCCTAATTAAAAAATCGGAAAAAAGAAATTTTAAGTTAGCGGCGGACACATCGGACACATTTAAAAATATATTCTGGCTTTTCAATCTGTATCCCTCCTAATCAAATAAACAAACTAAAAATAAATGTTGCATTCACATGCATTCACAGGCACATATATTTTGACCTCTTTCTATATTAAAAGGAATCCCGACCGTTATCAGAGTCTATCACAATTCCCGACCCTTATCTTAATATTTGTTATTCACTTGTTTTCGCCAATCTCGACTTATTAATGTCCCCTATAAATACTCATCCAAAATGGTCATTCAAATCTAATTAGAAGTGTTTTTATCAGGTCTGGCCAGACTCTTGTAATTGTCCCCTTTTCCCTCCCTTATGTATATATTTTAATTTGTAAATAGTTAGATGTAAATAAAGTTATTTAAAGAGTAGAATTTGTATAATCCTCGAAAGGCTTCGGAACCCAAACCCAACAGGCGGTGGAGGTTTTGGTAGTAGAGGAGGGGCTGGTAGTGCCGCCAGAGCCAATCCAGCGCCCCACCTAGCTCCAGCAGGCGGTTTTGGTGGGCAACCACGCCCAGCAGCTCCTCAACCTCATCCAGGCCCAGTTGGAGGAGGTGGCTTTGCTGCAGGAAGACCTCCACCTGCTGCTGGTGCAGGCCCTGGACAGTTAGTTTAAACTTTTATGATTACTGTATTCAAACGTGTTTCAGTCTTGGCACTGGCACAGGCCTTGGTTCCGCTTCACGTGGTTCCTCCTTCAAAACAGCTCTGGCAGGTGCAGCAATTGGTGCTGTAGGAGGAGTGTTAGCCTTTGAAGCAGGTTTTAATCTTATGTTTGGCGAATTAACCTTTAAAATTTGCCTTGTTCCTAGGAAAGGCAATAATTAAATCAATGGATAGACCCATGCATTATGACAATAAAGATTACTACTTTGGTCAAGAATATGTTAAGAGAGGTCCAGATGATCATATCTGCAGTTATGATTATCAAGAGTTAATGAAGCAAACAGCCCCGCCGGCAGGCGATGCTACAGTAAACGCTACAGCTGAGGAGAATAATAAAGCTTTGGCTCAAGTAATTTTTTTTAGATTTTATAAATTAAAATATGGAGTGGAAAAGGGCACAATGTCGTGCTCACCCGTGTACTAGTGTGTGCCAAAATTGATTCCAAAAAGCTTCTAGGAAGAAAAGCTTCTAAGTCACACCTCTGTTGCTCTTATCCTATAATTTATCCCCGAAAAATAAATAGAAAGATTCACAGATGGTTGAACTATAAATTGTCATCATAGTGAGATACTTCCAGGAAGTAGGTACTCTTCAATACATTAAATTAGTTTGACCACTGGTTGGGGCTGTTCAGAAGTTAGGTAGCCCTGATTTTAAGTAATAAGGGCTGCGTTAAGTAATAGTGCCTCCTTATTAGCCCTTATTTCCCAGCTCATAATGAGGTATCTATAAATATAGACTGACACTTCTAGTGATTAACAAAGAGTTCCTGAAACACCGGAAGGATTCCATCTAATAACTTTTTTAAAAATTATTCTAAACTTTAACATTCTTAGGCTACTTTTCCAAATGGAACACGCCCAAAACAGGCAAGTTTCTCTCAAAATTCAACGGCTTATTAAGCCAAATAATTTTAAAGATTGTTTGGGCCTGCAAAAAGTGGGAGCAATGCTGTGGGATGGATTGCTGCCCAATGCCACAATCAGTATCTAGGACAGAAAATAATAAATCCTCTGCCCTTTCTACTCTCGGAAAAGTTTTGTTAATGTGGGTGATTAATTAAATAAATTTTAAAAAAATTAAAAATAAATTCCAAAAATATAATCATTTAGCACTTTAGCATCACGCTGGTTTCACTCCTATTTTGCTGCTGTTGCTTTGTAATTGTGTATAAATTTTTCCGGTCGGCTTTTGATAGGTCGGATTTTGAGCTTTAATTTAAAATAAATTTCCAAATTTCTAGTCTATTTTCTCGTGATAGTAACAATTCTTATGACTCTTCCAAATATGAAAATAATACTGTAAATTCTAATATGATGCCTGCTCAACAACCAAACAACCCTGTCCAACGTAAACTAAATCTTTATTTAATACATAGATGTCAAAGTTATAATTAGGGTTGTTACGAGGGTTGTTACGAATTAACCGATACCGAAAAATGGGGGTCAAAACCGGTGATAACTGAAAACGGGGTTACCGGTTAATAACCGTTAGTTAACAACCCTAGTTATAATCTAACTTCAACATTTGACTAGGGGCTGAAAATCTTTTTTACCTTATAACGAGGAGTGATTTACATAGGTGATAGAGTTAAGGGTAGTTGGCCATCGCTCAATTAATTATCTCAAATAAGTACCTCGATTAACTTCCTCTTTAGGAGAGGATGACTTAAAAATTCTCTTACTTAATACTAGAGTTGGCCGGGATCGGAATCCTGGTCGATATCGGGCGGGATTATCCCAGTTTTTTAGAATCTTAATCCCGATCCAGCAGTAAATATCGGGATCATTATTCCAAAAATCACGATCCCGTTATTTTGCCAAAATCTGATACCGTACAAGGGTAATTAATCTATTGACTTGATGTAAATTTATTTTAATTCTAGCTGTCCAAGCTCAAAGCTATCCAATGCACCCATATCCTAACCAACCTTCACAACAACCTGGTGGTGTAGTATATACTTCTCAACCTTCAAATCCTCCAGCATATCCTGCATATCCACCCGCCCCAGGCTATTATGATTCCCAACAACAAAAATATTAAAATTTTTTGATATATTTTGGTAAAATTAAGGCTATTTTTGATTGTTTTTATATACTTGTAAAAATTATTGATGTACAAATAAGTACCGTGTTTCTGCTAATAGAAGAACCCTACCCGTTTTAAACACCTTATAATCAAAGACACAAAAATCCATTAATAGATGACCACGCGGCAATAACGACGCAAAGCCATAACTTCCTGGAAAATTTCTGGCCCGTATCAATATTGGCACTAATCTCTTTAGCTCGATGTGAGGAATCGTCTGATATTAAATTTAGTAGGATTTGGAAATTTCTAATCAAGTTATGGCTTTGTGCCTTTATTGTAACTAAATGCCCTACTGCGTTCAAATTTAAAATTTAAATTAGCAGAATTACGGTATTTGTAAAGATATTTAAAATTAAGTTTGACAACAATTTTATAGTGAATATTCCTTCGTATTTTTCAAATTTTTTTCAAAATATTTATAAAATTTTTTAATTCCTTGTCGTAGAATTTCGAAGAGACAGTTATAAACCTAAACGAGAATTAGTTAGGATTTTAAACACCTGCCTATTCATGTATTATTTTCTAACCGACATGGACCAGGTTTACAGATCAAACCCTGAAAACATTCAAAATACCAGAGGTTTTGAAAACATGTCCATGGCCCAGGCCTGTTCCAAACTATAATAGAATACTTTTGACCTCTACGGGAGAGTCTATCTTTAAATAACTACCATGATTATTTAACAACAAAATCCCGAAAAACTTTATGCAAAATAAAATGGAGGACAGATTAAATGATGGACTATATATGTAAAAAAATGGAATAGAAAATTTTTAAAAATTTTAAACATCTAGAAAGGTTAAAAACAGACTTGATAATGGATACGGATATGGATATAGATAGGTTCAAAATACCCGAGGATATCCGTATGTATCCACCGTAAATATCCGGATACGGATACCAAAATCAATTCTATTACCAAGTCTGTTAAAAATGAAAAATATGAGGATTACATGTAGTGATGGGAAAGTTCAAAATTTCTCTGGAACTAGTTCCAGTTCCAGAACTAGGTTTTTAATTTTAGTAGTACCGTAGTTCTAGTTCCAAACTAGTTCCAGATAATCGTTAGATCCGTAGTTCTAGTTCCGGAACTGGAACTAGAACTTTGCCATCACTTATTACATGTTTTTATGGTGAATTTACGATATGGTATGTTGCTCGGAAGGGGGAAAATGTACATGGGAAGGGGGAAGATTTAGTATAGGAAATCGTTTAAAAAATATGGGTTGAGGGGAACGGAGAAAATCATATCAAAAGAAGGATATGTGTCTTGTAAAGATATATGAACTCAATATGAGTTCAATGGTTTCTTTCTGGTTGCCGAAGGTTGATCAAAGTGTCTGATCAAAAACTGGTATCTTATAAAGAGGAATACTTTCATGCTGAAGGAATTAAACTGCTTAACCTAACGTCTCCAGATATTACAAGAGAGGAATACTCTGGTAAACTATAAGGTCTGTAGTTAAACTATAAGGTCTGTGGTTAAATGGAGGATCTGCCTTAGACGGCAACCTTGCAACCTTACACACGGCAACCTTGCTACGATACAAATAAAATTCCAAAAAATCACGGCTACTCAATACAGATCGCTGATTTTCAATCTCTTATTCGAGTCTCAAACTGAAGAATTCTTTTTTCAGGCAACCCCGACATAGGTATGTAACAAAATTTTACTAAAAAAGGCCAATAGTGCTGGTATGGCTTAGAGAGTTAGCTCCGGAGCTGTACCCAAAGCCTAATTTACGAATTCCAAGCCTGAACAAGAGAATAAGAACGCCCAATATATACACATCACTTCAAGCATCTCAATTTTAATGACTCAAAATGTATCTCTCTTCTAATTTCCAGATGTTGAAGGATTCTCTTTTTTAAGCTCTTTAAACTTCTCCTTTATCTTCTCGCTCATATCTTTTTGAAAATCTTTCGATTTTAATCCCAATTCTTCCTTATACGTTTCAGCCAATATCTGAGCTTTTTCTTTAAAATATTCTTCATCACTGCCAAAACTGAAGGGTGGGAAGTGTTTCTTCATTCGTGTATATGCTAATAACACTTTCCCGGCGTTAATGCGTGTTAAAATCTTAAATTTTTGAGTAAAACAGAGTCAAGAAGCCTATGAGAGAAAAGCCTATGAGAGGGATGGAAGGCTTTCTCTCCCCTATGAGAGAGAAAGCCTATGAGAGAGAGATGGAAATGACCATTCGAAAAGGCAAATAAATACAGTATGCTATATAGAATGATCACTAAAATGATCTCGAAACTGACCGTTAACTTGTAAGAAGTTTTTGCATCGCCATATCTTTTAAGTTGCCCTTTTTCATGAGTAAGCCAAAAAGACAGATTCTGCTCTATATCCTCAGTTAAATCGCTTAGGAAATGACTCAAATAGTCATTTCTAACTCTCTTCAAAAATTCTGCCGTGTCCTTTATCGCTTTTTTCAGCCAAAATTCTGCTAAGATCCATGTCTTGATACGAAGCTACAAACAAATTTAAAAAATATTTTTAAGTTGATACACTAGACAGAATAATCTTTAATAAGAAAACCTGTAATAATTTGCTATTATGTTCAGTAAATGCAAAAAATGATTCAAGCATTAGGTTCATATTTTTGTAAACTTCATGGCTTGCTTTTAACAATGAATAGTGCATTTCGATAAATTTAAAATGCGGCTTATCATTCTGAAATAACGTGAAATACATTCTATAGTAAGTCAGGGCTTCGCTCTCGAATTTTTAAAAATAATCCTCATCGACCTATCAAAAAACCACAAAATGAGGAAAAATCAGCAGAAATCGAAGCCCTAAAGTAAGTACTATCGTCCAAAGTATGTAAGTTCCCGCAATTATCCAAAGATCCTTAACAGGAAACAATAAACTATCTAGACCTAATCTATAATTACCACGAAACAAAATTTTCCCTAGCCCTGATATTTTAATTAAAATTTAATATTTTGTAAGCATGATTCATCCAGCAGCATTTAAAACGCTTAGGCGGGGGTTAAACGACCTAAAAAGGAAAAAGAGAAAGCATTAGTCGATGCCCAGGTAGCTCAGTGGGAAAGCTCCTATATATGATTAGCGAAACCGCAACAACTAGCAGGTGGTCGCAGGTTCTAATCCTGGCTGGTGGCTAAACTTTTGAAATCTCTTTCTATTTCAAGATAAATAACATATCTCACCCTTGAAGCTTTTTCATGATTGTAAGCATTAGAATAAATAGAATTGACTTGAGAGTAAAATTCTTTCAAGTCAGCAATTACTCCTTCCATCATCCTGCGTTTATCATTGGGGAACTGAACTATTGGTAATTTATTGGGAAGCGAATTCCACAATTCATAAAAAGCCCTATTAAATTCGTCATTGTTTGTTTTCTTTGCTATTTCATCTCCAATTGCTCTAGATTGCTTAAATTCCTTATCTAATCCCTTATAATCGTGTTTAACAAATTCTTCAATTTCCTCAATTTCTTTTGATCGTGGCTTTAATTAAAATAAATTAATAATTTACTATATAATATTTCAAAAAAATTATAATTTAGTAGGGGCAATGTCAATGTTTCTTAACTGACAAAGGAGAGTGCCTGGGGTGTCCTTTGTGACTCTTTTTTGTGAGAGACTTCTTCGATGTACAGAATTTCAAATGAAGAGGAAACATGAGAGGCAAAAAAAGGCCTAGCTCAGTATGTAAATCATCTGCAAAGTTTTGAAGAAAGCCTAACTAACCCGGTAACATAGGTTTTTAGTAGTAGGCTTTCCTAGCTTAGTAATTAAACTTTTGATGTACCCTACAGTTAGACACAAAGATCTCTCGTATTTTACCCAAATCTTGGCAAAGGTCTGATTAGTAAGTCGTCTATGCATTCGGAGGTGAGCTCATTAATAATTTATAATCTCATTCGAGTGAGATTATTAAATATTGTTATCACATAAATGATGTGATACCTTTGCAACAGCCTCTTCAAATCCTGCTGTAAAACACAAGTCACTCAGATGATTTGTCCAACGTTCTATTCCAATATCAAGTACGTCGTTTATATCGTTCGCTGCGTTTTCGTACAAGGATTTTAGATAGTTTATATATTCCAAAGCAAGCTCATGTAAGGCTTCTCCTTTAATAACATTAGATTCTTTATCCATAGATTTGTAAGAATTATGTCGAAATCCAAAGAAGAATTCCGTCATAATTTGTCGCAAAACTTTGTTGACAGTTCTACGAAGATTGAGAAACTCGGGGTGTAAAGAATCTTCCACTTTCTGAGTCGCAAGCTTATTATGAGGCCCAAGTTCATTCGTAAGTTGGTCTAAAATTGATATAGCAAAAGTTGGGCAATACTAAAGGGAAACACTTGTGGCTAAAAATATTATTAGCCTATAATGAGGTGTATATTAGATAAGGGATATCACAATAGTAAGCAGCTGGGCTATAGCTAATTCTCTCATTTAGCTAGTACAGAAGGTTATTCAGCGGCTGGGAGCGCACCAGCATCTTCAGTAGACCGGACTGATGTGTTAGACATTACACCACGCCGCCTACTGCACAGCCTTAGGAATTAAATAGCTATATGCTTTACACAATGAAGATTCCCCGCGATTTATGTTCAAATGTACATAAAGAACCTAGCTTAAATTGAGGTATGTCTAATCTTTGGACATATGTTAATCTCTATTAAGATTCTTAATTAATTTTCTAAATAAAAATCAACCAAAATAGTTTTGATTTTGAGGTGGATTATAGTAGGGCACAATTGGCAGTTGTTGATGACTCCAAGATGCCTGTATAGGCTGATGACTATGCTGCAAACCTTTAAATAAGATCAAATGATAAAGCATGTTTTTGAGGTTGCAATTTTTACCTAAGTATGGGTTATGCTGAGTTTGACCTTGATTCTGAACTACCATTTGTAAAGGATTCTGATGTGGAGGTAAATACCCAGTAGAATGGGGAGAGTTGTGTTGAGCTTAAAATAATAATCAAAATGAGAAAATCTAATATTAAAGCAACGAGTGATACCTGTGGGCGCAAGGTAATTGGGTTGTCCTCCAAAATCTATCAAATCACCTTTTTGAGCTGATAGCGGCTCGACTGGTACTATGGACCAATTATCAGGATGCGATGCTTCTGTATGATGAGAGGATTCAGGAATATCCAAATTCTAAAATTTATTAATAAAGCAGTAATTAACAGTTGACCTAAAATTAAATCTTAGTCTGAGGACAAACTGAATATCCTTTCCAACGAAGAATGTACAAAAATTTCCTTAATTTCGTTAGTATTTTAAGCATTCAATAGCGAGGCGGGCCCGACACGACAGTATTGAAATGTTCGAAGTTAGTAGTTGTATAGGTTGCGAATGTTTGGGTCAGGGTCCAACCCGAGTTAATACTTTTAAGTTTTACTGACCGTTTTTTCCACAAGCCAAAAAGCTTTAAGATGTTTGAATAAAGAATTGTAATGCTCGGGGGTTTTATCTTCTTGCAACTTTTTTAGCGCTCCTTCCAGACTTGTAACTGCTCCAGGAGCCGGATTTGGCAAAAATGGATTGGTCTGAACAATAAAATTGGTAGCTGTATCCAGTTCCGGAAATTTTATTTGCTCTTGTGCTTTCAAAAATCCCTTAAGAATTTCTATAAACCCATCGACTGATTCAACAGGTTCTGTAGAATGTTCTTTTTCAAAAATTTCTATACGATTCTTAATTTGTTCATTGGTACCTAAAAGTTTGATATATTAGTTAATCTTCTTAACTCTTGGGGATAAAAATTTAATGTTGAACAGCTCGAATAATTACCCTCTCTCAAATAATTACCCTCTTTAATAATTACCCCCACATTTTTTACATAAATCTTAAATATATTGAAAAAAATCAGTGTCAATTGTAATTACAGAAACAGTTTATTAATCATTATCAAAAAATAATTCGATTCCCTCGTCGATTTAATGAGATATACCCTAAATTCGGCAACTCCTCTGTAATAATTATCGCCTCCAGCGAGATGTTGAAACAATAATTACCCAAAGTAATTATTCGAGCTATAGGTATTGCAAATTGATAAAATTTAATATTAGATGTGTGAAATTATTCCAATTTAACTTATAGGATACCATTAAATTCAAGAGTTGCTTCCAATAATTTTTTAAACTTTTCTTCAGTTTCTCTAATTAGTTTAATTTTTTCACGTTCCAATTCAGCTCCGGCTGGATGTTGTGGGCGATGGGGACTATGTGGCACCATTGCTACACAACATTCCAAAAGCAAAAACAAGGCAAACATCATCGATGGATGCCAGCGATTTAATGATAAACGAATTATCATTGTTTTGAAGGAGAATCTTTTGTAGACAAACAAAATAATAAATTTGGGGGAAATTTAAATATTTTTAAATTTCAATTTTGTTTAATAAAAATGCCCTTTCAATAAGGCATTAAACAAGGCGAATGAAGGAGTTAAATGTAAGGAGGGAGAGAGAGAGTGAAGATGCCCTCAGTCATGAGTCTTAAACATTGAATAAATGCCATATGATTAAATGCCATATGATTTGCCTTATAGGGGAGAGAAAGAGAAAGAAATGGAGTTTGTAGTTAGAGGAAAGAATATGCCCGAGTAATTGATTTTTTATTTTAAATTTAAAAATATTTTTAAAAAGTTCGATGTAAACTTTAAACATTAGTCTGGAACCTCTCTATGAGATAAATGGAATAAAAAATAAAAAATGGTATTCCGTATTCCGCTAAATGGAATACGCTTTCATAAAACATACATATCTTAAGACGGGAGAGTCTTTGAGTTATGAGACTCATAAAGAGATAACCCTTTTTAAAATATATTATGATATAAGACTTTCTCAGTCTATTTAGATGTGTTATTTTCGTTGGGTTAGTATGTAGATTCGGGTTCGGTTAACCGAAGAATATGGTGAAACAACACCTCTAGTTTAGAATATATTTTATTGTGAAGCCTGATATTACTAGATACTTTAATATTTTTTGAAAACCGGACAGGTTTAGTCTTTTTCAGGCCAAAATCCGATGCCGACTCGATCTTTCGAAACGGGCCGGGCCCCCAATCCTAATTATGAGTGATACCTTAAGAGTTTGTGAATTAAACTCCAGCACTAATCAACTTTAAGAAACAAATTCAAAACAGAAGCATGATATATTTTTGATCAAGCTTCCTCCTATTAACACTTTAAAAACCTTTGAAGAACAAGGTGTCATATCTTTTCATTTTTCAGCGCCGCAGGAGAAAATTTTTAGAATATTGGAAGGTCTAGTTGCCAGATTTGTCACTTTATAAAGCGCCGCATAAGCGTATTATCATTTTTAAAGGGATTTGAAAATTTGATACAGAAAATTTAAACTCTTCTCTTAACTCACAACAATGATACTTTTTAATGCCCATAAGAATTTTTTCTATGCCTAATTGACTCCCGGCTAAATTCACACTAATTCGTAAAACATAAATAAAACCCGCTCTGAAACTACTTAATTAAATTTTATAACTTATTAAAAATTTTTCAAATTAATTTCTTTAATTAATTAATAAATAATGCCCTTTCATAAGGCATTAGACGAGAGAAATCGAGGGGAGGTGGAGGGGGGGGGGGTAATTAAGCAAGAGTTGCTTGCCTCTTATGTTTTACACGTCGAATAAACAATTCCACATGATTAAATGCCATATGATTTGCTATGTTAGGGGTAAATAAAGAGGAGAGAGAGTGAAAGAGAGAGTTAAGAGAGAGTGAAAGAGAGAGTTAAACAAAATGGAGTTTATTGAATTTAAATGGATAGAGAAAGAGGAGAAGAATGATCGAGTAATTGATTTTTAATTTGGCAATTTAAAAAAATTTTTTAAAGGGTAAGAAAAAGAAAAACTTTAAAAAATACAACAAAACATCGGCATGAGGTTTAATATACCGTAATTTAGGAGCACTTTTTAAAAAATTTTATGGTCCTTTAAAGATACCTTCAGGTTACACTCATTTTAAACCCTCCTATTGAAGCTTCACTCTTTGGTACTTTTATCACCCTCTTCTTAAAACATAATGATACCCTCCTTGTAAAAGAGGAGGATGATGTTTTATAAGGATATTCTCATTTTAAAATCTTGGTTACTGTCAACTGCAAGGATTTAAAATTTTTTGGATACCGTATTCCTTCAAATAGAAGCACGTTCTATTTTCCGATCCTCTCTTAAGTTGTGCTTCTATTAGAGACTGCTTCAATTGGAGACCGTGCTTCAATTAGAAGAAATCCGGTATTCAAGATTACATCAAATTTATAATTCTGGCTCTTTATGAGCGATTTTTAGGTCTAAAGAAAAATTATTTAAGGAGCCAGAAAGAATACCTAGATTTAAATAATATTTTTTTTGAAATAAATTTTTAAGTTTGAATATAACTATAAATCCTCTGAACCGAATATGCTATAAATAAAATTTATTTTAAAATTATTTTCACAATAAAATTTCAATTTTATTTGCACTTTTATTAATTTTAAAATATTTTTATTTAAATTTTTAAATAAATTTCTCAATAAATTTCCCGACAAATAAATTTAATTCACATGATGTTTTCCTTTTAACCTTGTGAAATTCCTTTAAAAAATTATTATAAAATTATAAAATTATTTTTACTTGCACTTTTAAAAGTGCATGTAAATATTTCCTTTTAAGATGCTTAAAGAAAGGGCAAATTTTCATATTTAAAATTTATTTATTAAAAATTTATTCAAAAATTAAATATTAAATTTAATTAAATGCGATTATTATTGCTGTATATTCTCCTTTATGTATTTATTCTGGATGTTTCAAATTGTACAAATGAAGACGACGATTGGCAAAATGAACAACGGAAGCGTCAAAAGATTGGAGATCAACAATATTTAAATTTTGGTTATGGTCAAGCACAAGGAGGTTATGGAGCACAAATTCAAGGACACAATCCAAACCTTCTAGGAAATCAAGCGATAAACCTATTACCAGATGAGTTGCGTCAGAATAGAAACGATTTGACACATGCCGTGGATTTATCTCAAAAAGGAAAACAGCCTCTACAAAATCCCCCTCAAACCCAACTGCATCAATTCATCAAAGTAAAGCAGGAACCAAGAGAAACTGAATATATGGGGCAACAACCTAAACAACAAGTTCAAGGAGAAAAGGGAAAACAACCCCGGGTAACTATTCATCTTGACGATAGTTCAGACGATTCTTTAGAACTAATAGATGGAAAGGGTAACAAAGCGCAAGTTCCTAATGAAGGAAAAAATAATTTTGCGATGCTAAATATTGGAAATATTCAACAACCTAGCGGAACTCAACAACAAACTCCAAGTTTCTCTGGATCAAAAAGAAAACAATATAGTAGCCAGAAACGAATTGTTACAACTATTAGTGTGAATAAACAACATTTTACCACCGTGGTTCAACATTGTAAGAAATTATTTTTTGAAGAAATATTAGTTGTATGAGTTTCTAAGTTATTCTGATAGAATGGAGGATAGTGAGGGGAATCGGCTGGAAACTTAGCCTTAGACCGTAAACCAGAATTGTAGAATTAGAGGAATTATTAGTTATTTCTAAATGATCTTGAGGGATGGTAGATATCGAGCTGGAAACATATGCTGAGACTTGAGACCATAATTGAAGATTGAGGGAAATCTGAGTTGAGTTCGGGTTGAGAAGGTTAATTAACATGGCAGAGTGACATGGATACATGACAGGGATGGAAAGATATCGTAGATGTTGGCCTAAGACTCTTCCCTGAATATGAGATAGAAGGAAATTCGGGTCGATTTCGAGGATGTAGAATAAATCCGGAAGATTTATAAAGCACCTGGGCGATTTTTAGATATCTATAAGTTTCTAAACTTTTACTAAACTTTTTATCTTTTGTATTAATCTAATTTTACTTTAGTAACAAGCCGTGAAGCTCAAAACAGTGAGAATTTTAATTATAATTTATTAAATTTATCTAATTAAAATTTTATTTAAAATTTGCCAAAGTTGGTTGATAATTCGGATTATATCCCAAAATTATTAAAAAATTTATTTTTATTAATAGAAATGCAACAACATAAACAATTCATGGAAAGTAAAAATCAAAATTTTGATGAAAATTTGTATATGACAAATCTAGCTTATAAAAACTGGATAGAAGATTCAATGCAGAAAGAAGAAATGAAAAAAATTAAAAATTTTATGCAAAATAAAGGTCTAAAGTTTGAAGAAAGTTTGTATATGTCCAATCTCGACTATAGAAACGCGATATTTAGAATGATGCAAAATGATGTTGATTTAGCACTGAGTATCTCGAGCTCAAGAGGTTGAGATTTAAACTACCGTATTTTCTTGATAGATTCCCCATTTATTTTAACTTGATTCTTAGGTCTTTTCAGGGAAATTAATTCTCTCTCTAAATCGTCTGTATTTTTGATCACTCTCTAGCAAAAAAATGAGTGCCGTTGGGATTACAGCAGTGAGATCAGAGATAAATAGACTAACGGGTACTTTATGGATATGTCACCCCCCCTCCTATTTTGAGTCTCAGAGTTTTCCTTATGCGTAGAAAATGGTCAGAGATTATTTTCTTCTACATGTCAATCATTTTTTTCCTTCAAGCAAAATAAGAGAAATGTGGAAACGAAATGAGTGAAATGTAAGTACAAAATTCAAAAATATGTAGATAAAGTACCGACATAAAGTACCGACTAACGCCTTCTAGAGAAGGGTTGAAGCATTAATTCTTCACTCCATATGCTCTACTGCACGTTAAAATTTAAAAACTAAAATAATTCCCCTCCCTCAAATAATTTTCAATCCCAAGATGAATTTAAATATAAAGTCCCCATGGTGATCTGTAACTATGTAGTAGTTGGGTATACTTAAAATCTATTAAAGAAATTTTAGACTTCAGCAATGCTTTGCCGCAAGCTGGTCATTCAAATCATGAACAGCATCCGGTTCTGCAACAGCAACAAGTAAGAAATCTCAATACACATCGAGAACTTTATCCTGCCCTTCAATGGCAACAAGAAGCAACTGTCAATGCTCAGCGAGAACAGCACCCTCCCCTTCAACAGCAACAAGAAAGAGTTGTCAATGCTCATCAGCATATACAAAATCTGGGTTCTACACAGGGACAAGATAGCTCGGGAATTGGTTTGAAATCCATAAATCAACAATCTGTTTTGAACGCAACAGCACATCAATATGTTGATTATCTTCGAGGGCTAAATCCACAATATTCATCTCAACAAACCCATAATCAAAATTTAACCCATCAAAATGTTCAACACCAACCAAGTGTTTCAATGAATCATTTAAGCAATCAACAACCTGCGAATCATCAATCAAATTTGGATAATTATAATAGATCTTTAGGTGATATTATATGTAGTTATCTGGGCATGCCAAACATTATCTGGGCATGCTCTTTTGAATGAGTTATTATTTAAAAAAATCGAATTTTTCACCCAAAATTAGCTTATCCGCTTATCGCTTTCAATATTCTGCGACATATATCTCGGTTTACAAGCATCTCCGGAAGAGAAGAGTAGTACAGTTCGACTAAACTCATCGAGTCAATATATCGAAACATTACCACCGGTATAATATACTAACGCCAGAAAATTATTATTATAGAGCAAGGACATATTCGTCAATATTCCATTATTCCATCAAGCTCTAATATTGTCAGTAATAATCCTGAGGGTAAATATATTCCTATTTAAAATTGTGATAATTTTTAAACAGATGCAAATACTGAAGGGCAAACATTTGATTATTTCAATTTTCATAAATAGAATTAAATAATGGAAGTTTTTTATGAAAAATTTTTGAAAGTAAATGATAATTTAAAGAATTTTATGTTTAAATTTTTTATATTTTTTAATTATAAAATCGTTATTTCATTGTTTCAAAATTTTCTTCTAGAAAAACGGAAATAACGCAAATCTAATACTAAGTTGTTATTTGACAAATTACTTTATTAAGAAATCTAGAACAGACTTTAAATTGTTTTATTTCTCAATCACCATATGTTATATCTTTTTAAAATATGATGACATAAGATTCAAATTTGCGAAACTAATTGTATATTATATATAGAACTGGCATTTCTTCATCAAATATAACCATGATTTCCCTTGATTCCAACTTTTTAAAAATTATTGATAAAGAACTGCCAGTTCTTCATAGAATATACAATTAGTTTCAAGTTCCTATAAAGTTTTTGAAAATATCGTTTAACCATGATTTTCCACGGTTCCAACTTTTTAAAAATTTCGATTAAATTCGGTCTTTAGAGAACAAGTTGTAGGGTGACTCAACGATTTATTTTCAAATTTGCTTTTCATTAAACTAGATGAGAAGCCACGCCAGACACTCCATAATACTGAAAACTTGATTATTTTTAACTTTTATTATCTTTAGTGCCAAAAAAGAAAATAATTGCCAATATTTTATCAACCCTGCTATACACGATGGTCAAAGAAATGTATGAAATTTTTGGTGACTTCGAGAGTCTCTTCCAAGAGACTGACCAATAACTTCATTAGATCGTGCCAGTTGGCTAAACTTTGCTAGATTTTTCACTGTCTTTTGGAATTTAATGTTAATATTTGTCACTATTTGGCCAATATAATGGTTCCAGCATACGTGGACTTATATAATACACTTTTATAATTTTTTATCAGCTATTTGTAAAACTAAGGTACAAAATAAAGAATATTAAATTTAAAAATTAATTAATTAACACAAATCGTTTTTCATTGTTCACTTTTTCTTCAGCCAAATTAAATTTAATATTAGCATAATTAAGAATCAAGTTAGCAATTTCCTCTACATAATTTTTGCAATATTCGCTTAAACTAGATTTAATAGATTCTTTTTTGTATAATTCATCAATGCGTCCACAAAATTCTTTGGCATATAAAACATGCATTATTCCTTTGTTAATAGCTTCTTTTACTAATTTGAGTCGAGTTTGATACTGAATAAATTTGAAAATTAGTTTAAAATTTATTTTATTTTTTATGATGCCTTGATAAACTTGTAAAATATGAAGAAGGGCTACTACTTTTTTAAACTACGGTAGATACTTAAGACTTTCTAATATAATGTCTAATATTCCTCTATGGTTCTCTACAGTTTCCATGAATGTGCCCATCCAGCATATTAAGAGCGACAGAAGAAAGCGGAGGAAGACTTAGCATAATTCCAAAAAAGAGCTATCGAATGAGAATCGTATACTTATCGTATACTTATCCCTCCCTAGTTTATTCTCGTCTTAGAGCCCGGCAGGTGGGATCGCTTGATATTCTATATAAAAATATCGAAACAGAAAAATATCGGAAAAAATGAAAGAAAAAAAATGAAAGAAGGTTGAAGACGAAAGTGATCTCATGCTAGTCTAATTCTCGTCTTCTACAACCTTGGATAAATACTTCCAGGGTCTTCCAAATATCTGTATTCTTAATTTTCCTAGTGAAAATCCAATTTTCTAACTTAAGGTTCTTATTTTCAAAGTAAATTTTTCCAATCTCCCACCGCAATCCATGTTTGGGAAAGTTGAGAAAATTGTCGCCAATCTGTCGCGCGTCCAAATAAATTTAATAAATTCAAACCTTTTCCTTTTTCTTCCCCCATTTAATCCTATCATGATAATTATCAACTGAATTACGCATCTTTTTAAGTTCACTAAACAATTTCCTTTTAAATCGTTTTAATGACGCAATATTTTTAAAATGCTTAATAATTTTGGAATTTTGTTTCTCTTTCATATTTTCAATAAAATTCAATAGAATTTTTGAATTTTCTTCGTTAAAGAAAAGATTCTCGGTAATTAAAATTAACTGATAGAAATTTGTTGATTTATGGTAAAGCTTGTTCAATTCCGCATTGCTTTTAAACACAAAATTGTTGAATTCTTTCAAATCATGAGTGTAAATATATGGTTCGATATCGGGGATGTGAAATTCAGGTTCAACTGCAACTGGATTATTATGATTAATAGTTGTGACAAAAGTTAGGGAACAAGTGATAGGAAAGATTAGAAATTACCTAATTGAATTTGATAATTTAAATCTAAAAAACCCAAAAGTCCAGGCCTGGGCCCAGGTAAAAAATTTCTGGGTTTTCCTGTAATACAGGTCCAAGATTTGGCCTAAATCAATAAATCAAACCCCAGAGTGCAGGAATCGGGTCCAGGCTTTTTTTACCTCTAAAAGGGTCATTCAATTAGAGGGGTCATTCAAATAGAGCAATACGGAAAAACTAACTCATAATTTTCCTTCTGAGGCATACGGTATGTAATTACAGAGAAATGCGGTTATGACTAAGGGAAAGATACATAATGTTCAACAGGAGGCCATTTAGTATCCGAATCAGAATATTTTTGGTAACTAGAAACTAGTTTAGTAGTGTATGAGGGCAGATATCTTTCGGCATTTATCAGTAAAAGTCAATTTCCCAACAGAACCTTAACAGAATTGGCGAAACAATTTATAATACTTATAATGCCTAGCTGAGTTTCAACTACGATAAAATAAAATAGATTCATTATGTATAAAATTACATTTTAGTTAGAGGTTCTCAAGTATTTTTTCTCAAGAGAGAGGTTTCTCAAGCTTTTGGGAAAGTTATCACAGTTAGGATATCAGGGCTTCGTGAGAGTTTAATTTATTCGGAATTTATTGTTTAATTAATTAATTACCTAAATCATTAATTGGATCATCATGTACT